TGAAATTGTATTGTAGCCTTTTTCTGGTCAAAGTCTTTCTTCAGCTGTTCATAGCTGACTTTGCCATCTTTGTTAAAAATCTTTTTCCCCCCATTCATACTTCTGCAGACATTAATGTCCCTTCCATAGTACAAACCCTCTTTGACCATGTCTTTCAGGTCAGTTAAGTGAAAAAGAGACTGGTAGTACAATGCCACAGAAGGCTCCTCTCTCTGAAGCAGCAATGGCTTCTGCTCCCAATATTCTCTGAAAAATTCATCTTGTTTGACAGGAAAGATCAAACTTTCAAATACGCTCTCTGGATGGTCACATTTCATAAGCCAAGGGGAGATTGCTTCCACTTTTGCTTGTTTACATGGCAAACGTTGTTCCTTCTCTGTTGCAGCTCGTCTCCCTCCTTTCTTGGGCATGGTCCTGCATAAAGTAGCAAAAACATTAAGGGTGCCTCTAGAGCATCACTATTTTGCAAAAGAAATTCAACTTTAGCTTGTTGCAATTAAAGTGGATTAAGGCACTATGTTACCCTAGCGCAAGGTATCCATTTAAAAACAACAACAAAACAGACTTTTTGCAGTTAGGAAAGTGAGAGGAAAATGCACTGAAAAGTGTGGGGTGGATGAATGATTAACAGGAAGTGTAAACACCTTGGAAGTGAATCAGGATGAATGTGCGTTGTACAACTGTCCCATGAACAAATGCTCAAAAAGACCAGATATAATCTAACCTCCAAGTAAGCTTTGTGCAAGCAAATCAGGATAAATGATGAATAAGCAGGAGGAGGAGCCCTATGTCTGAGGTAAGACCAAGTTCAATCACACTCCTAGGTGTGCACAGAACTGCAGCCTGGGTAAACCAGCTGAGGATTGGGCCATCAAAAGGGGTGGCCAGGTTTGCACCTATTAAATTGCTCAAGGTCTTTAAAACAAAAAGATTTTGAAGAGTGCCAAAAGGACCTTTTCAAACTGAGAGTGGTAAAATGGCAAATACAATTCAATTCAAACAATGTACAGTGATACATGTAAGACACAAAAAAAAACCCTTAACTTCACATATACGTTCATTAGGTCTGAACTGATGATGATAGCTCAATGAATCTGACACCAAATATGTATATTTAAGGGCAAGTCAGTATCACCTTATTAAAATATGTCAAAATTATCTCATACTACATATATGAAAGTCAGCTAACTGGAAACTCTGTTCTTTTCCAGAGGCAAATACAGATTGAGAAGACACTTGGTGATGTACATGTATGCATAGATTAGTCTTAACTGGTTTGCTTCTGCACGAGATATTCCCTTTAGCATTTTTTTCCTAATACAGCTCACAGCTCCTCTTCTAGGTTTTCAAAACACAGGCTTTCTGGAAAAACTTAATCACATCTCAGCAGGGTCACCTCAGCTCATCAAGCCTCCATTATCAGATTGCATGCATGTTAGTTTTAAGATAAAGCTTTTAAAATTCTGCTCTGTTTTGAGTCCCAGAGATCCCATGACATTTTCTGTGACAATGGCAATTGCCTGATGTCCTCAATCCACCCTCCCATTCTCTCTGCTGGGAGAACACTGCCTGCTTGTTAGCAGCTGGTTTCAGCTAGGGAGTAGCGTTAACAATGCCACAGAAACACTTCATGGAAAGCATGTTGAGATTTTGGAGCTCAAGGATATTATGCACACATCACCATTGCACCATTTAGCAACCTATGCGGTCCCCTGGGCAGGCAAGGTAATTCATTAAACATTAGTTCATTTTCCGTTCCACTACATCTTAAACTAAATATTTTAATGGGTACCACTTTATGTCCCCCTGCGTTTAAACCTACTTAAAAGCTGCAGGAAAATGGGGTTAACAGGAACAGACAGATGCAAATGTAAAATAGGGAGGGAGAAAGGAGACAGCAATAATGCTTCCTTGCAAATCATTGAGGAGGCCCAATCAAAACATTAACAAGCTAAGGATGCGCATCACTGCTGTGCAGTATTTGGAAACGAGCTATTTCAGAATAAGCAACACTCTAGTGTTTTGAAACAGCCCTTTCTAAAAACAGCAGCATGTAATTCTTACCAATTTATACAGCACTTTTCATGTTCAAAGAACTTTATTAGTATATTTATTTGCCACCCTTATTCCATCCCAGAATTCAGTCTGTTTAGCCCTGTCCAAGCACTGATCAAGCCCAGGTCTACTTAGCTCCAACGAAGAGTATGCATTTTGTGTACATCATTTCAGTAAACCTTGCAATTAAGATGCATTGTTGCGCCATATTGCAAATGGGTGAATGTACTTGCAGAAGACCACACAGCAGTCTCACTGCTGAGCTGACATTTGAACATTGAAACGGGATAGGTAACACACGTACCCATATTTTCCACAGGATAGTCATAAATATCCAAGCAGTGGTAGCTATCTCCACAGCGATTCAAATCAATTTGTTCATAACCAAGTAAGCAGAATACAGTTGTTTATTTAAGGGGAGTTTGGGAACTTACAGCACGTGCCCCACAATTTTGTTGGTTGTGCATTTTCCATAATTCTTGACTACTGAGGCTGGCTGGGGCTGATGGGCATGAAGAAGGTAGGAACCTAGAGCATGCTGGTTCCGGCCAAAGGGCATGAACAGTAATCCACTACAGTGGTACCTCGGGTTACAGACGATTCAGGTTACAGACTCCGCTAACCCAGAAATATTACCTTCAGAATGAGAACAGAAATCATGCAGTGGTGGCGCAGCGGCAGCAGGAGGCCCCATTAGCTAATGTGGTGCTAACAGCTTCAGGTTAAGAACAGACCTCCAGAACAAATTAAGTTCTTAACCCGAGGTACCACTGTACAGTCATACTTCATGTTACATTTGCTTCAGGTTGCGCATTTTCAGGTTGCGTCCCACGGTGACCCGGAAGTACCGGAAAGGGTTATTTCCGGGTTTCACCGCTTGCGTGTTTGCAGACACACAAAATGGCGTCACGCACATGTGCAGAAGTGGCAAATCGTGACCCGTGCATGCGCAGATTGAGTTCTTTTCAGGTTGCGAACGGGCCTCCGGAATGGCTCCCGTTCGCAACCAGAGGTAGCACTGTATTCTGTTCTCAGTGGCCGACCAGAGGCAGAGTCCGAGGGCAAGAGTGCTCTCCTTGTGTTAACTCCAGCAATATCTGGAGGGCCTCAGGTTCCCCATCCCCAAATAAGGAGGGAAAGCGACTGTTGTGTGGAGGAGGCCCACCTCCTTCCACACAGCAGACCCTCTTGTTCCCATGCCCCGCAGAAAACCTCCTCCCCTCGCCTTAAAAAACAAACCCAAATGTTTTCCCAACTGCATCCTTTTCTCTTAGGGGCACAAGGGAACTTGCCCACAAGAGCAGCGGCAAATTGGCAGCGTATTCGAGCCCCTCGCGCCAATATCCACGTGCACCGGCCGGCAGCATTCCTAACTGGATCCCGGCAGAAAGTCCCGCCGGGCCCTCGCCCTCCAACGAAGGGACGTGCATTTCAAACACCCTCCTTGGAATTCATGCAGAAACTTAGGCTAGGCTTCCAAAATTTATATAGCTTAGGCTAGGCTTCCAGGAATTTTCAAAGAAACGAAGCAGCGGCGGCTACCAAAGATAAGGAAAGAGCCGGCCGAGAATCAGGCGGCGCGGCAGGAGCTGCTCTTCTTAATGGTAGCGGGCGGGGGGGGGGTTGTTCTAGATTTGCAGCACGTCGGGAAACGGCCATAAAGAGTACCCAGTGCTGACGGTGCATTAGCAGCGGCGACGAGGTGCAAGTTACCACGTTGCTGTGGGGTTAAGGCTGCTGGAATGGGCCATGGGCGTCCTGCCCAGGAAGAGCATGGCCGGCCTCGCCTCACACTGCAATAGATTGAAGACGGAGAAGAAGGGAGCGGAGCCATTTCTGTGGCGGAGGGTGGGGAGACCCGCAGGTGCTCTTCGGGCAGCCGCCCCTCGCTTTATACCGACCTGCTTGGGCGCGCGGAGAGTGACACGTGCGCTGCAGCGTGAGCAGAAGCTGCCCCTCCGCGCGTTTCCTGTGCGGGAGGAGGGAGAGTCGCCTTCCTTCCCTTCTCCTCCCTCCCACCCGCCTGCCTCTCTCCTATCGCGGGAGACTTGTTGCTTTTTGCCCGCCTCCCAAACAGCAAGGGGGGTCGCGGAAATGAGCGCTTTTTTGTGGCGGCGGCGTTAGGACTTGTTCCCTTGTGCCGGTTTAGCCGCCGTGTGGACGCGCAGGGAAAGCGCAGCCTTTTCACTGCACCCCCTTCAGGCTGTGAAGGTCAAGGGTGTGAGCGCGCGCTCTCTCTCTGCACCGGTTGTATTTCTGCCCCAGAGGAACGAGCTATGCGAAGGGGAGACGCTCGTAATGAGCATTTTTAAAGGTTGTGGGCGGGGCAGGAGAGAAGAGCACCTTAGCTCCCTTTCCCCCCCCCTCCCTCACGCACGCCTACGCCTGTTGTACACGCACCTGGGATAATACACTCTTATCACTGCGGAAAGGGCGTTGCAGGAGCACCAGGCAAAGGCTAAAACTTCACAGAAAGAAGCCACAGCAATTAAGTTGTGTAATGCGATGATAACTCTGTGCTGTTATTAAAAGTGTCCCTTTCGGCATATCAAGGAGACAGTTTCGAGTTTCGCAAAAGAAAAACGGGGGCGTAGCCAGGACTTTTGTGGGGGGAGCAGTGATTGGTCAGTTAAGTATTTCTATTGTTTTACTTGATCTAGGGGAGCAGCTGCCTCCCCCCCCCCCCGCTACGCCCATGGAAAATAATCCTGCACGCCACCCCAGTTTCTGGGAATGAGGCACAGCTGAGACTGGTGTCTTTTAAATGGTTAATATTCTCACTATAAGGGTAGTTGCCGGAAGTGTAAAAAATAAATACACAACTTGTGAGATTCTAGGCAAGCACCCTTTTCTAAACAGGGAGATCAGTTCCTCCTACCATCAGGAAAAATGCACACTCCAGAGAACGCCTTTTTAAAAACAAAATCTTTATTTTAACCCACTACTTGTATATATTTTTATATTTTTATCAACAGATATTTCCGTACTGCACATTGAATTGCAAAATTATAAAACATTAATCAGAAGTGCAAAACTACAAATCATTTTCCCTAGAGTAGTTCCATTACAATGAATGGGAGTGCTCCTGTGTGTGTGATACAGTGATTGCAACAAAGGGTTCAGTCACACTTCATTTCATTGTTACCCTGCAACATTATGCCATGTTTCTAGGCCCAGCTCTCAACTTTCCAGGTCTGTGTCAGAGTGTGTTTGTGGGTGTATGGTGTGTGTTTTTGGTCCCAGTGCTTTACCGAGCAAGGCCTGCGTTTTACTGCTGAATCGGAGCAAATAGCAATTGGGTTTTCCATGGAAAGCTGGACCTAGAAAGCACGGAGCAAAGGTAAGGATGGATGAGCCCAAAGAATAGGAAAGTTGCAATTAATTTGGTTAAACTTAATAGCAGTTCTATTCTGATATGTATTGTATGATTAATACCTTTTATGGGATCTTTGACTTTGCTCAGAAGCAAGAAAGAGAAAATTTTCCAGCATGGTTTTCAAAGAGGTGTCAAGGAGATAAGAGGTTCACAAGAACTTAAATGTAAAAAACCATAAAATCTTCCACTTTACATCTGGGGTTCACATGTTTTGTAGGATTTCTCCCTACTTAGCGACAGGTGCTTGCAGCCTCCTTATGACCTTTTTAAGGGCCAGTATTCTTTGAGGAAACGATCCATTTTGTAGCATAATGGGAGAGTTTCTCAGTCAACTAATCAAACAGGACAGGACACATATTCATTTATAATTTCCTAGATGTTTCCCCACCCTTTGAAAAAAACACTTGGGATAATTGGAATGGAAAAATAATCAGAGGAAGAAGGGTTAAATAGCCCCTATATAACTATGCCTGCCATTTTTCACTTAAACTTGCAGTCTCCCTAGATTGCTTTGGTCCAGAACAGAATACATGCAATGTGTAGTTTTGAGTGCAGTCCTATGTATACCTATATGGAATAATGTCCCAATGAAACAACTGGAGCTAATTTTTGAGTAAACATGCATTGGATTGGACTGTAAAGCTACTGCTGGCTGCCACCATATTTTTTATAGATATGGCAGTGACTGAAATTACTTGGCCTTAATTAAATTGAGCAGAATAGCATTTATACTAGTTACTATTTCAGAGATTTCTACCAGTTTCCTGTTGTGAGCCTTCAATTAGAACTGATTATCTGTGGTTATTCCACAACGTGCACCTTCCAATGGCTGGGTAGAATACCAGCTGCTATTATAACAAATCAGGCTGTCTATGATTAGGTTCTCCAGCACCAGGACTAATTTTCCTCCTAATCAGCTTCCTAAGTCAGCTCCTAGTCAGCTTCAATCATCCAAGAATGAAGGCTACTGAGCTTTATATTTTTTTTAAGTAAGCAAGAAGCAATGTGAAGAGTGAAATCATTCGGAGAAAGATCCTAGTGCTGAGTGTATAGCACTAGTCTGGATCATAGGTGGGAGTGGTGGGCCACGTTGGCAGAGGCAGGGAAGATTTATGTATGATGTAGGTCTAGCCACTCTTGGCAGCTTTAAAATAGTTCTGTAAGCTAGATGGCTGCGTTGTGGGAAGCTGCATAACTACCAATCCTGTGCATCACACAGCAGAAATAGGTATTTTACACTGCTGTCATACAAACTAGCTTAAAACCACCTATCATCATTTAGGAATAATAGCCCAGAGTGCATAACAAACTCAGAGCCATTGGGACTTCCATTTTAGATAATAGATTTTGCAAGCAGGGAGAAAAACCTGTTATTTGGGTACCAGAAACTCTTGTTCAAACTCTAAAGCATCTCTGCTTACACAGATCATGGCATGTGTATTTTACTATGCATTTCTGGTGTGCTCATATGAAAAATATATCAGTTATCATCATTCATATATACAAACCCCAGTAAAAAAAGTTGAATACAATATATACAGTAGGAAATATAACCCTGGAGTATGTGTCAATGGCATGATTGTTCTGCAAAATAATCCTGCCCACATTCCCTTTCAAGGATCTCTTCCTCTTGATGCGAGCTGCATCTAGAGTGGGGGTGCTGGGTGCTTGCCCTCGTGTTGAACTTTCTTCAGAAGGGACTGAAAAGGTGGTCAGGTCAATGTCAGTGGTGTCTGTGTCGTGATAGCAGCCATCAAAGGCCATCGCTTGCACTGCATCAATATTATACAATCCAGCAGCCTAGGAAAAAAGGGACAATTACTGGTTAAATAAAATGACTGAAGAACAAGTGCTTCTTCTTTTTAATCCCACATACAGGAAATAGTTTTAACAGAAGACTATCAGCAACAAGGATGTTTTCACAAGTGACTCCAATGAGTGCTTTGTTGTCTAACAATATGAATGTTGTTCATGTAGGACAGAAAAGTGGAAGAGTCTTTTTTTAAATCAATTGACATTCTAACATTAAGTTTTGTATTAAAATTACAGATACAGGAACTAAATGTCTCTTATGACAACAACCTAGGATCCATAGTTACCTTTTTAAATAAACACTACAGAAGTTTTGTGAAAACAAAAGTTATTTACCAATGGTATATATCACATTCATATTCGCTGTGAGGCATGAAGGCCACTCCCTGCAAGGCCCTTTCTACCTGGCCTAGGGGGCGAGGCCCACACTCACCAGCCCTACTGAAGAGGCTCCTCATGAGGCCGGAGGAACATTGCCCGGCTAATGTTTTATTGATTTATTGATTTAATATGATTTATTGATTTAATATGCTGTAATTTATTGATTTAATATGCTGTAAACCACGACCGACAGATCATGAAGCTGAGGCTCCAATACTTCGGCCACCTCATGAGAAGAGAAGACTCCCTGGAAAAGACCCTGATGTTGAGAAAGATGGAGGGCACAAGGAGAAGGGGACGACAGAGGACGAGATGGTTGGATAGTGTTCTCGAAGCTACCAGCATGAGTTTGATCAAACTGCGGGAGGCAGTGGAAGACAGAAGTGCCTGGTGTGCTCTGGTCCATGGGGTTATGAAGAGTCGGACACGACTAAACAACAACAACAAACTGCTTTGAGATTTTTATTAAAAATATAAAGTAATATAGAAATTAATAAATAAAATAAATAAATAAACATGATCTATCTTGTCAGCCTAACTTGTAACAGTTAAAAAGAAAAGAACAGGGTGGTATTTAAATCGTATTCAGAGTAGACTCCTTGAAATCAGTGACTTAAACTCATTGAGTCTACTCCAAGTCTGACTTAACTGTATACAGTCTATGATACGTACAAGTCGTCCCCCACCACAAAATAATCTCTATTTTTCTTTTTGCCCACACAAATTAGTTGGTTCAGCTAGACTTATGTGCAGCTTTCATGTTGGACTGCTGTGATGGGACAGGATTCAGAGGCAGTTTTACAGTGCTTCAGTCCCTTCTTGGATGGGATGGGACTTGAGGCACAGTTTTTATGGTGATTCTGAATCTTCTTGGACTGACAGGTTCAGAAAGTGCGGTCGGAGATTGTTATGTGATCCCTTAGCCATTAGCCTTTGGTGTTGAAAGGCAGATTAGGAAATGGGGTTTCGTCTACCTTGGAGTGGGTTGCACTCCTCTTTGATACTTAGATTTGCAGTGTAAATCCTGGCTTTAGCCCTGAACTGGGTGCCCTTATTTTTGCCACCAAGTGCATGCATGGTACAAGATGCCTTAGTTACATCTTGTTTGGAATCTTGTAACATGCTCTACATGCGGCTGCCTTTGAAGAGTGGAAACATGAACTGCTTCAGAATGCTACAACCGGACTTACAACAGTTTCACTGGCCCAGTCCATTTTCAAGCATAACTGAAAGTTCTAGCTATGATCTACACTGTCCGACACAACTTGAGACCAGATTACCTGAAAGACTGTATTCTCCAATATGAGGCTGTCAAGATTTTAAGTTTCTCGGGAAAGGCCCTTCTGTTTATCTGCTTACATCTGAGGGACACTTGGTGGGAAAGAGGTAGTCTTCTTGGTAACTGCTCTTTGCCTCTGGAATTCCTTGCCAAGTGAGACCTCTAATGATCTTCCATCAGCAGTCAATTACATTTTTATTTAAATAGGTCCATAAGCTGAACTGATGTTTTTAACTTGTGGTTTTTATTGACTGTAATGATGTTCTTCCTGCCTTGGTTTTATATATTTTTCTAAGTATTTTAATTCTATTTTATTTAGAAATATTTATTTATACATTTATAAATATATTTATTATAATATTTTCTTTTACTTTTGCTGTTAGCCGACCTTAGCACCATCTGGCTGAAGGTTAGACTACAGAAGTTAACAAAGGAAAGAGTTTAACTGTAATACTGTTGAGAGTTTGAGAAGCAGGCAAACCTTGGTTAAGGCTTGGTGAAATAATGGAGTTCTAGAACACAATGCAAAAACAGACACCATTTTAACAGGCTTCCCAAATGCCTAAGGACTGTGAAACACAAATCACAGCACAGACATCACAAACAATAGTGTTTTCTGTGACTAGAACACAAGCAAGTGTATACCTTTCCTCTCTTTTTCAGCTGTTTTCTTTCTTCCACTGTTGTGAGATAATTTACAGCTGCATATTCAATGACAGACAGGAAGACAAAGAGAAAGCTGATCCATAAGTATACATCCACGGCTTTGATATAAGACACCTGAGGCATTGAGGCACTTACTCCTGTGATTATAGTTGACATTGTCAGCACAGTAGTTATACCTGCCAGGAGAGAGAGAAAAGATGAAGGGACGGCATCAATAAGGTCTTGCATTTTGCAAAAATATGCACAGTAATAACGTGTGTACAAATGGTTGGTGCCCCCTAACTTGCTTCCTCTATCAGCACATGACATGTATAAATATCACATGACAAATAATTGAATTGAGTCCCCAGGATTTGTGGTGGTGGTGCCAGATTTCAACCCACGTACAAGGCTCAGTGGCAACACAAGGTTAGTGAGGACAATGTCTTTCCCAAGCCTTTAAGTGCTCTTTTACAGAAAACATTAGAGTTGCACCTATCTTTCTCCTTGAAAGATGTTTCCAAGCTCCATTTTTCTCAGAGGAGCAACATGCAGAGTCAAGGAAGCCTCATATTTCCAGCGTAGAAGGGCCAGGTTTTCAGCCAAGCTGCAAATCCCAGGCAAATATGATGTCAAGACTATTCTGGCTTTCATTTTCTTATAAGTCCGCTTGTCACCTTTTAGAACAAAATAGCCCTACTCTTTGAAGGAATCTTACTGCTACCTGATAAAACTCAACATGGATTTTCTTTACCACCTATTTAATATAATTGCTGTTAGTTTTCCACATTTATTCTTTCCTGTGTATCTCCTAACTGTATTTGTTATGCTTTTGTTTTATAATAATAAAATATTAATTTTAAAGAAATTACTTTTCTACTTTAAAAGCATAGTTCTTTAATGGATAATTTAACAAACTCTGTATGTTTGGGGTTTTTTTAACCTATGGCCCTCAAGGGTATCCCTTAAGTAAGAAGCAAGACACCACAAATTCAGTTTCTTCGAATACTGCTCCGTTAGTTAGAATGAGTAATGAGAAATCAACCATTCCCTTTTAAATTTCTAGCAATTAAATATGGCCTGATTCTAGGTGAAGATATGGTGAAACAGTGGTTCTCAGAACAGAGTATTAGTACCCATTAGAGAACATGCTTTTCAACATTAGCCACATTGATCCTTGAAGGGGCGGCAGGGGTTAAGTAGCATGGTTCCTATGTAGTGATGAATAATTTAAGTAGAAAACATATATTATTTGTTAGGTTCATAAAATGTATCCTTTTATATTAGGTCTTTCTTATGAAATTCAGCAGTCCTTTTAATTTTTTTAATGTTCTAGGGAGATGTCCACCAAATGATGTACCTGTGGGGGTTAACCCTTCCCCTGCATCATTTTTCTCAATGACAATCCCTCTAAGCTTTTTGACCCACAAGGGAAGATGCTATATGAGCAGCTTCCCTTCCAGGGCAGATGGTAGCTTCCAGGGTGATTACTTTTGTGGATAAATAGTACAGGAAGAGATGGTTAACCCCCCACTTCACAGTCCAGGTTCATGTCCCCCTCCCACCAGCTGCTTTTTAAAATAATTAATTATATGCAAATATGACCACACATTTAATGTATTGACTAGTTTGCCTCATAACGAAGGTTTTGTAAGCATCTGAAACCATGTTGCCCAGATTAATTACCTGACTCTCAGTTAACCACCCACAGTTTCAGATACAGTGGTACCTCGGGTTAAGAACTTAATTCGTTCCGGAGGTCCATTCTTTACCTGAAACTGTTCTTAACCTGAGGTACCACTTTAGCTAATGGGGCCTCCCGCTGCCACTTTACCGCCGCCACACAATTCCTGTTCTCATCCTGAAGCAAAGTTCTTAACCCGAGGTACTATTTCTGGGTTAGCGGAGTCTGTAACCTGAAGCATCTGTAACCCAAGGTACCACTGTAGTAGAAAGTTGTTCGCTTCCAGACATGTAGTCTTTACCATACTTTTCTGTGTATTAGACACGGTTTTTTTACTCCAAAATAGTGTTTAAAAACTGGGCACTTCTAATACAAAGGCAGTACATTAGGGGACCAGGTGATTGGTTGCAATCGCCAGCTGCAACTTGTAAGTGGCATTTTGGTGTGTGGTTTTTGGCTGCGTCAAGGGCTGCCTTGGATTGGCTGCTCCTGTGTTAATTGGGCAGAAGTTTGGTTGCTGCATCAAGGGTTGCTTTGGATTGGCTGCCGTTGCGGCAATTGGGTGCTCAGTTTCCGGCTTGTGTTTGCGAACGGGCAGACGCTTGTCGGATTCTGTGATGCGAGCGATTTTGAGCTCTTGTCTTTGGGGTTAGTTATTTTCTGCATTTCCCCCCAAAAAACCCTGCGCAATCCTTCCCAAAGCAATCCCCCCACAAAAAAGCTTAACAACTCTGGTAATATAGCCATCTCCCCCCATTTTCTTAAATTATACTCCCCCAAAATAGGGGTCATCTTATACATGGGGGCATCTTATAGACGGAAAAGTACGGTAAAAAACATTTTCTACCACTCTGTCACTTATGACTAAGCTAATAAGTCTGGGTTTATTGCCCAGGTCAGCCATTTCTTTCACGCAAAGCAAAAGTGAAATCTCCCTCCAGGACAGATGATTTCACAAGAAATGCTGAGTTGAGTTAATTAACTCTTCAGACCGTTCCCCTCCTACCTTTTCTCTCACACTGCTGCATCTCACAGCTCTTTCTGATTAATGAACAACTTTGGGTATAGCAAAACTAGGCAAAGCACACTTAAATTCCTTCTACCAGAAATGAAATAAGTGTTAGATAATGTAGGAAGAGTAAGATAATGATAATATATTTCTGTGAACTACCTATAAAGCCAACACAAGCCAATTGCTACAACGTGTTTTCCACCATACCCTAAATATATTCATATGAGAGCTTACCAAGTGATACCCTTGCAGGAACAGCTCTTCGGTCGATCCAAAATGAGACCCATGACAGCATCACCATCAGCATAGATGGGAAATAGGATTGTAGTACAAAAAAGAAAATATGTCTCCTCAGGGCAAAGTTTATGAAGAGTCTGTTGTACCAACCTGTTGAAATATGTAAATATATTCCTTAACATCCACATTCTGTTCTCCCTCCACTGAACTGTGACTTATTAATATGCATACATTTACCACCTCCTTTACCTATTTAAATAGTGTTATAGGTGGGTCCTTTCGAAACCTGTGATCCTGTGTATGTGGGGTAGAATCTATAACCAGTTCCTTTGTTAATGTAATGGCTTTGGAAGATCAAAAACACCTCTAATTGATGGGAATTTAAAAAATGCTATACAAGTACAGGCTAACAACAGAATTGCAGTTAATCCACCAGGAATTTGACTAATCATGTCTTGCATGATTAGTACTACCATTATGAAAATGCTTCAGGGATATTTCATAATAATAAATTCTCAGGTTATATTTGTTCTTGTTTCTTCATTGGCTTCACTTTTTTGCTGTTAAACCAAGCATCCGACTACTGAATAAACAGCACCGCACAGGAGACAGTGCCATCTAGTGAATCATCTGCATAATTCTGCAGGAACAGCACACATGCTGTTAAAGGAAGAAAAACATAGCTTTAAAAAAAAAAGCCTGCTTTTATAATGAAAATCACATTGCATTATATTGTAGTAGAAATTCTACTCTAATAACCCTACTTGGCAGAGCAATCTGAATCTGTATCTGCAGCCCCACTGCTCATGCTAGCTGGGGTAGAAGCAGAGGCAGGCAAAAGTCTGCTCCAGGTGCCACCAACCTGCAGCTGGCATAGCAATTATACCTGAATTAGGCTCTGTGCTGTCAAATGATTGCAGTGGAGCTGGCTCAGGATCAAACAGACCATAGGTTGGCTCAGTCCCTCCCTGTCCAACTTTCTATGGGCTACCAGCCACGGGAAGCCTGTTGCAGTACTTCCACTGACTGTGTTTTTGGTGAGTGGAACAGGGAGCTCCGTGCCAGCAGAGTGATGCTTGATTCTGGACTGTTCTGGGCTGGGTAGAGAGAGCTCTCAAGTCCCAGCCAAAAGTTTGCCCAGTAGATCGGGAGTTTGGATTCTGCTCTAAAGGTATAATTCTCCCACATATTTCCAACTTGGAAAAGTTAAGTGAGATTTTAAAATATGCAATCATATTGGCTAACTTTAATGGCAAATATAGTACAGTTCCGTACATGTCTGTTCAGAAGTATGCCCCATGGAGTTCAATGGGTCTGACTTCCAATAAGTAGGTATAGGATTGCAGCCTAAATCACTGTCTTTTCTACTTTTAATCATTCACATCACAAGCATTGTTACTTGATTTTCTATTTTGAACTTTTCGGGGGGGGGGGGAGTTACACTATCAATATTAAGTCAAAGCTGTTCCTCTATTACTGCAGCCAATACAGCAAAAGTACTGTACAATTAAATTAGTTGTATCTAAAAGTTTGAGGAAATTGTTCTGTGTATAAAGTATTTTATATTGATCTACCACAATTTACTGGCAGGTAGTCAAGGATTTTTAAACTAAGTAGAAGTTGGATTGTGGTTCTTCGCTTTCTTAATCCCTATGAGTTAATTGGCTGTGTGAACAATGAGCATGGGTATACACTGATCCTGAACTTGTGTAAAGGTTATAGACTACCAGGTTATAAAGCATGACGTTCAGACATGCTTGTGCTCTAGCATATCTTCATATAGAAATTCAACACTAAAAAGTGTATGTTTTAGAGTCAAGCCAGATGTGACGCCATTCCTACAATAAGTAATTGCATGAATTTCTTTTAAAAAATAAATTGCAGGTGCAGGGAGTTGATCTGGATCGCGAACCAGCTGTGAGGGGTAGAGAGCTTTAGCCCTCCACTCCCTTACTGAGGACCTGGTCTGAATATGGCCCTCTACACAATGATATTTGCATTGAGAATAAAGCTCTAGCCTTAGCCCTTCTTCAACCCAATAGAAATGTTGGCTTTCTTCATCCTAAGTTTCGGAAAGTTGTTGCTTACAGAAGAGCGCATATGAAGAACAGGAATATCCCACCCTGCCTGAATATAAGAAAGTAATATATCCAGAATAATATGTATATTATGATTACACCAGGTTAGCACGGGGAGAATTAAAAGCCTACCTATTCACTGCAGCATAAAAACAAAATTAGAATGGCCTGGATACAAAGAAATATGCAATTGGTTCTGTATGCCCAAAAAAGATTTGGCCTACAATTCTACTCACAGGTCCCTGGGAGCAAGCTCCACTGAATATAGTTCTTTCTAAGCAAACATGCATAGGATTGTTTTGTTAGACTTGTGTTTTTCAAACATAAGTGCCCTCTCTTCCAACTGCACTGCAAATCCCATTTGAAATGGGGTAATTCCACAATCAGTTTGCAATATGCAATGGGGTTCTGCTGTTCATTGACCTGAAGCATGAACATAATAACACTTTCAATTCTAGCCTTTGTATATAAAGTTCTAAAATTTGTGAGGCAATTAATTTCAGACTAACATACTTCTTAATGCTCCTTTCCCCTATGTAATTTATTGTGATACAGAGGCATTAAAATTTCAATTATTTTCAGTTCCTTTTACAGTTCTCTTCTAATTTTTCTATACATACTATGCACAGTGGGGGTGGATGAAACAAAATCAAAATTCAGTATGAATCGTGAAATGGCTCTAGGTCTCTTAGATATACCAAAAAAATTGCATGTTTCACATAGAAAAATTAATAGGAAAATCAAAATATAGATACATGCACTGTCGATGTGGAAAAGAATCTTTTGAACTGGTTTCCTTCATAACAGCCATTCCACTGACTGCTATTCTTTGCTAAGATCAAAAGGAATTTAGATAGAACAAGAAAATCTATTACTGTCTGTCAGGCGCTATACCTGTACTGCTATAGAATGCTAGCCCACTAGAAGCACTGAATTCTTCAATAAAGAACTGGGAAAGGGAAATGTGCTCATCTGTGCTAAGAGATTCATTGCCATGCTTCCAATACAGCATCAAGTCTTCTTCATTGTAGGCATCTGTGGGGAAAATAAATAAATAAACTTAACAGACTATCACTTGCCTGTGACTCTTTTTCCTCTTGATTTACACCTTAACTCGCATTCTATTACCTAGATAGCATTTGAAAACACCAGACTCTGAACAGGAAGACAGCTCGGCTGCTTGATTCTTTCCTTTCATATGAAGCCCATAACAGTGGGCAAGGTAAGCGAGCGGAGGGGATTATAACCAATTTGATTTTCAATCATCTATAGCATGGGTAGGCAAACAAAGGCCCGGGGGCCGGATGCGGCCCAATCACCTTCTAAATCTGGCCCACAGATGGTTCGGGAATCAGCGTGTTTTTACATGAGTAGAATGTGTCTTTTTATTTAAAATGCATCTCTGGGTTATTTGTGGGGCCTGCCTGGTGTTTTTACATGAGTATAATGCATGCTTTTATTTAAAATGCATCTTCTTCTTCTATGCTACCACAGTCCTCAGACAGACCACAGCCATTTACTACATAGCAAATAAGGTATACAAAATTATACCTAAGCGAAACCAGACATATGAAATGACAGAGGTTTCCAATATAGTTCCCTCTTTGCTTATGGAGGGGGAGTGTTCTGTCTCCTTTTATAAATATTCATTGCTTTTTACTAATCTAGTTGCCAAGAAGAGCATTTGAAGACCCCCCCCCAAGTCCTTGAGACACCATATGCCTTTAAAATACAGTATAGGTAAGGTACTTCTAATAATTCTTATTTAAAAACACACACATGTAGAACATACAATACCATAGCTGAGCCAGACTTACAGCTTTCCAGTTCTAGAGAGCAGTTCTGAGTGTCAAGTGGGAACCTACTGAAGTCCATGAAGCACATGGCAGAAACTGTTATTCTGTCAGAAAAGCAATAAAGCAAAACAAAGGGATAGGCTTTACTGTTCATATCAACATTTTCATTATGTATGAGAGCCTTAAGGTCAATGAATGAGGGATTCCAGTTGGGGGTCTTATGTTTTTATTTTTGGCTCAATATATTGGCCTTATCATTTTAGTATCTAGAGAAGTAAAAATTATGAAAATTCATGGAGGAGCACAATTTCCCCATCTGTTGCAAGCCTTTTGGCAGCAATGGCCGATTCCCCTTCAACAAAAGGAGCTGGTGGGGTGGATCTGGCTCTAGGGATGCATGCTAGAGGAGCTTGTGTCCTCAGAACTCAAGTCCCCTGCCTCCCTTCATTATAATTTCCCTCCCACATTGGCAGAGGGTTAACATCTGTGCCCTGGAACATCTGTGCTGCCAGGAACATTCTCTGGCAATATGAAGGGACCATACTTGTACAACTCTCACCACTTGGGGTTGAAGTGAGCAGTAGTTATCACTCCTCATTATACTTCTGTAGAGTTGGGGATCTATAGGATCCCAAACTGCAGCTGTGGTGGAATAATTCACTGAATTGGACCGTATATCTGGTGCTTAATTTATATTATCCAATTTTCATACTAGACAGAATGGGTTTCCATTTGGTGCCGTCTTCAGGCTGGGCAGCCTTACAGAATGAGCAGAGTGAAAAGCAGGAGAAAAGTATCTGGGACTACAGCCTGAAATTAAAATCCACTGAACAGACATGCAAGCCCTCACAAGAGCCAGGCAAGTTGTTCATGCAAATACCAAGCCTAACCAAGAAGCCTTTTTTAATCCTTCCCAGCATAAGGAAGCCAATGGCTTCCTTGGGTGTACAAAGCCTGGAGCCCAAGAGGACTTAATTACCAGGTAACCTTCTGGACCAATTACATTCAAACTTACGTGCAATATATTGCTTTCTTATATCACATAGCATCATCATCATCCTGCTTAGCATTTATATAGTGCTTGGGAGTGTTCAAAACACATTATCTCAGTAACATTTACAATAAACCTGTACAGTAAATGAGAATTATTATCACTAATCTGCAGGGCGGGAGGGTCTGAGGTGAGATTTGAACCACATGGCTTCCAGATGATATACTTAGCAGACACTAATCAGCCTTCCCAAACTGGTGTGTTTGAGATGATTTGGATTACAACATATCTAACCATTGACCATGCTGGCTAGGATTGATAGGAGTTGTAGTCCAAAACACCTGGAGAGCAGCAGCTTGGATAATACTGCACAATATGTCTTATGAAATAAAAATATAATAAAAATACATTGCAATAATGCAATAATAAATAATTACATAACCATTTAAAATAGCAGCAGAACATGGCAACTAATAACTCAGCAAAGCAGAACAAGCAGTTTAACTCTCAATGGTTTAAAAGGGGGGGAACCTGGGGGAATTTTTTTTTAATTCCCTGCTGTTGAAATGACATCAAAGTGAGCACCATGCAAGCTTTCCTGGTGAGGGTATTCCATAGACAGGGGGGACACCACTAAAAAGGCTCTTCCTGATTACCACCACTTTATCTCAGAGGGCAGAGGCAGCTGAAGAGCCTCTGTGACTGGATGGACTAAAGTGAGAGAAGACAGGAATAGCAGAAACAGTGCAACAAAACCTGAGCCAGGTTTCTGAACCTGTGGCCATGAAGCTGAAACTCAGCACACAGCTGATGACCAAACTATGCCATGGGCTCTAAGTGCCTTGTAAATAAACCTTCAATGCCTACAATTTCTGCAAGGATCACAATGAGCTACCACAGAGGTAGCCAAACGGAGGACATAGATGATGCCTTCCTGGAACAGATGGCCAAGCATGCAAAAGGAAGGGAGATAGTAGTAATGGGGGACTTCAATTACCCGGATATTTGTTGGATGTCAAACTCAGCCAAGAGCATAAGGTCAAACAGATTCCTCACTGCCCTTGCAGACAACTTCATTGTCCAGAAAGTGGGAGAAGCAACAAGAGGAACAGCCATTTTAGATCTGGTCCTAACCAATGTTGATGACCTGGTTAGTGGGGTAGAAGTGGAAGGATCATTAGGCGCGAGTGATCATGCTCTTCTGAAGTTTACTATACAGCGGAAAGGAGCAGCCAAGCATACTAGGACTCAATTTCTCGACTTTAAGAAAGCCGACTTCATAAAGCTTAGGGAAGTGCTGGGTGAGATCCCATGGACAGTAATACTAAAAGGAAAGGGAGTTCAAGATGGCTGGGAGTTTGTTAAGAGGGAGATAGTAAAAGCACAACTTCAGGCAATACCAATGAGACGGAAACATGGAAGGTGCCTAAAGAAGCCAGGGTGGCTATCTAAAGAACTTTTAACTGAGTTAAGATTAAAAAAGGATGTGTACAAAAAATGGAAAAGGGGGGAAACCACCAAAGAGGAATTCAAACAAATAGCCAGCACGTGTAGACACAAAGTCAGAAAAGCTAAAGCACAAAATGAACTCAGGCTTGCTAGAGAGGTTAAAAGCAACAAAAAAGGCTTTTATGGGTATGTTCGTAGCAAAAGGAAGAACAAAGAAACCGTGGGGTCACTCAGAGGAGAAGATGGTGAAATGCAAACAGGGGACACAGAAAGGGCTGAACTCCTGAATGCCTTCTTTGCCTCAGTCTTCTCCGATAAAGAAAACAATGCCCGACCTGAAGAATTTGGAGGAAATGATTCAGCAGAGGAAACACAGCCCAGAATAACTAAGGAGATAGTACAAGAATACTTGGCTAGTCTAGATGTATTCAAGTCTCCAGGGCCAGATGAACTGCATCCAAGAGTATTAAAAGAACTGGCAGATGTGATTTCAGAACCACTGGCAGTCATCTTTGAGAATTCCTAGAGAACAGGCGAAGTCCCGGCAGACTGGAGGAGGGCAAATGTTGTCCCTATTTTCAAAAAGGGGAAAAGAGAGGACCCAAATAATTACCGCCCAGTCAGTCTGACATCAATACCAGGGAAGATTCTGGAGCAGATCATTAAGCAAACAGTCTGTGAGCACCTAGAAAGGAATGCTGTGATCACCAATAGTCAGCATGGATTTCTGAAAAATAAGTCATGTCAGACTAACCTGATCTCGTTTTTTGACAGAATTACAAGCCTGGTAGATGAAGGGAACGCAGTGGATGTAGTCTACCTTGATTTCAGCAAGGCATTTGACAAGGTGCCCCATGATATTCTTGTAAAGAAGCTGGTAAAATGCGGTCTTGACTATGCTACCACTCAGTGGATTTGTAACTGGCTGACTGACCGAACCCAAAGGGTGCTCATCAATGGTTCCTCTTCATCCTGGAGAAGAGTGACTAGTGGGGTGCCACAGGGTTCTGTCTTGGGCCCGGTCTTATTCAACATCTTTATCAACGACTTGGATGATGGACTCAAGGGCATCCTGATCAAATTTGCAGATGACACCAAACTGGGAGGGGTGGCTAACACCCCAGAGGACAGGATCACACTTCAAAACGACCTTGACAGATTAGAGAACTGGGCCAAAACAAACAAGATGAATTTTAACAGGGAGAAATGTAAAGTATTGCACTTGGGCAAAAAAAATGAGAGGCACAAATACAAGATGGGTGACACCTGGCTTGAGAGCAGTACATGTGAAAAGGATCTAGGAGTCTTGGTTGACCACAAACTTGACATGAGCCAACAGTGTGACGCGGCAGCTAAAAAAGCCAATGCAATTCTGGGCCTCATCAATAGGAGTATAGCATCTAGATCAAGGGAAGTAATAGTGCCACTGTATTCTGCTCTGGTCAGACCTCACCTGGAGTACTGTGTCCAGTTCTGGGCACCACAGTTCAAGAAGGACACTGACAAACTGGAACGTGTCCAGAGGAGGGCAACCAAAATGGTCAAAGGCCTGGAAATGATGCCTTATGAGGAACGGCTAAGGGAGCTGGGCATGTTTAGCCTGGAGAAGAGGAGGTTAAGGGGTGATATGATAGCCATGTTCAAATATATAAAAGGATGTCACATAGAGGAGGGAGAAAGGCTGTTTTCTGCTGCTCCAGAGAAGCGGACACGGAGCAATGGATCCAAACTACAAGAAAGAAGATTCCACCTAAACATTAGGAAGAACTTCCTGACAGTAAGAGCTGTTCGACAGTGGAATTTGCTGCCAAGGAGTGTGGTGGAGTCTCCTTCTTTGGAGGTCTTTAAGCAGAGGCTTGACAACCATATGTCAGGAGTGCTCTGATGGTGTTTCCTGCTTGGCAGGGGGTTGGACTCGATGGCCCTTGTGGTCTCTTCCGATTCTATGATTCTATGATTCTAACCCCATGTGCTCCAGATGCTGCTGGACTGACTGCAGCTCCCATCAGTCCCAGCCAGCACGGCAAATAGGGAAGATGGCAGTTATAGTCTAGCAACATCTGGGGGGGGGGGCAACACACTGACTATCCTGAGCTAGTGTATCTTCTCACCTTTATGTTTGTTTCTTGCGACTGGAAGATAAGGAGAGCATTGTGCTTACCGTAAGCTAAAGAGCACATTTCCATCTGGGTAGACACGTAACATAACGTTCTCCATAGTTGTGTCATGGATGAAAGATCTTTTGGAGTGGACAAAAAATATATCAGGTACCCAGATCTTTTTTATTAGTCTTCCATCAAAAGTCATGCTTCTGTTTCTGGTACTAGGAAATGACAGCCTCTCATCTTTCCAGTAATGTCTGAGGTATAAAGTCATGGTGAAGTCCTTTATATAAAGAAAATAAAGAGGAATATATAAACAATAAACCACATTGTATGTAGTCTGCCATAACACTGCTTTCATGGGCTATTTCCCAAGATTCTAAAGGCAGGAACAAGGGAAGGAGGATGGGGAAGGAAGAAAAAGGAGGGGACTCATGTCTATAGTAAATGTCATGTGGGAGGAAGGTCTCTGTGTGTGGGACAGCTTTAGTTCTCTGATGGTGAGGGGGGTGGGAACAGAAGGAAGGAATTGGGGCAGAGGCATGTGGAATTGAGTGGGAGGTAGCATTTAGAGGATGGATGGGGAATATGGGAGGCAGGGAGGAAGATAGATGTGTATGCATGTGTGCAACAGTTTTAGGGCTCTGGTGACAGTGGGCAAGAAAACTTGAGAGAAGGAGAAGTAATTGGACTGTGTGCAAAGGAGGATTGCACGAAAGAGGGGTTAAGGCAGAAAAGGGGGTGCAAAGTGGGGCTGCAGAAGAGAAGAGAGAAAGAGCTTCAAAAATAAGGTTGGGAAGGTGAGGAGTTTTAGTAGTTGCATGGGATGGGAAGAGGAAACTCCAGTGGGGATGGATTGGGGATGGATTGGCAAGCAAAGTGAGCAAGGCTACATCAATATTTGAAGAAGAGCAGAGTTTGCTTGGGGATGGATTGGCAAGCAAAGTGAGCAAGGCTACATCAATATTTGAAGAAGAGCAGAGTTTGCTTTCTAAAATCTGTGTCTTTTGACACCTGATTTCTAGTCACTTTTGTCAAACTTCTGGATACTAGTACTGCTCTAGAGAAATAATGAAAAGCTTACCATGTCAACTTCTGAAATGCTGTCAATACTCTCCACTTGCACATCAATGCCCACTGGTATTGGTGACCCTTGAACATAACAAAGAGAATAAATGTGATGATCAGAGAGTTTAACAGAACCTTCAAAAAGAAAGAAAAGCGAAGTACCAACCATGAAATGGAGGTATGTGGATTTATTTATTTTTTAAAAAAACTGCTTTAAATAATTAAAAATAAATATGCACCTTGTGAAACCCTCTTACAGCAAGATTGTCATTAAAGACCAAACTAGAAGGTATGTGCAAACACATATATTTCTTTTGTTAACAAAAACCTGCTTAGAGTGTGGTGGTTCTAAAAGCCATTCAGAAAAGTTTAACCACTTAGTATAATAAGGTTTTGGCATTGCTTCAGATTTCTCCATTGTTTCAGAGTACATATGGTCGTCTACAATCCACAAATCAGAACTCTCAAAACCTGAAAACAGGGGAGAGGGTAATAGATTTTTCTGCCGCAGGATGCAGAAAGAAGCACTTAGGAGTGTTGCTGGATCAGACCAAAGACCTGTCCAGTCCAGCCTTCTGTTCCCATTGTAGCAAACCAGATGTCTATGGGAAACCCCAAAGCAGAACATGAGTGCTATAGCCTGCTTCCACTTAGGCTCCCCAGCAATTGGTATTTAAAGTCATGTGGTCTCTGGTCCTCAAAATAGCAGCTATGATGTCTAGCAGCCTTATTTGCCATAAATTTGTCCAGTCCTCTTTAACAGCCATTTAAGCTGGTGGCTATCACCACAACTTGTCGCTGTGAATTACAGAAGTTGTGTAATGAGCTGTGACTGTGAAGAAACAGCATCATTTCATGGGTCCTGTTGAGGCATCTGAATATAGACTGCATTTTTAATCAAGGCTTATATTGGCTTATATTTTGATCAGGTTCCTAAATTCTAAAAATGGGCTTAAATTCACAAATGTTTTATGCCAGGCAGAAGACCAGCTGCCTAAAGTACTTTGGCAAGATGTTTATCCTCCTGGACAAGGGCCCCCCTGATTTATAGCAGAAAACAATTCTCAAAGTCGTAAAAAGGGAATTACAGGCTGAGAGCAAGGTTACACTGACCCTACATAATTAAGAGTTGGTAAATAGTAAAATAAAACCATGTGCCTCCCATTAAACTTGAGCCACATCTTCCTAAGGTTAAAGGCCAAGAGCAAGTGGAAAAGAAAGCAACTGGCTGGAGAAGGGGGAGTGTAAACAGAAGAAGAGGTTTTTTTCCTATTTTATTTTGAGGCTGTAAACTGTTCCTTCCTTTTACTTTGAGAAGGTTTATTCTTCTAAAAAGCTATCTATGATAATGTATGAAATATGCTGGCTTAAATGTAATTATGCAAAGGATCTAGAAAGAAAGAAATGTTAAATTCTTATTTCATAGAGTCATATTGCTGTAGGAGACCAGAGGGGCAAACGAGCCCAGCCCCCTGCCAGACAGGAGACGCCATCGAGCACTCCTGACAAATGGTTGTCAGGCCTTTGTTTAAAGACCTCCAAAAAGGAGATCTTTCATTGATGATGCATGAGAATGTGAACCCAAGATCTCTGACATCTGTTTAAGATAAAAATTTAAAACTATTAACCATCTGTTTTGGAGGGCAAGGAGGGCAAGAGGTGAGCTGGTAATTAAGGATCCTTGTTGAGACAAATGTAAGATATATGACTACTTATTTGTCATTTATAGATAGAAGAATATATAGCTTTTTGTATCCCATAAAAGGCAATAGGAAATGGGTGTATCTTTTACGATTGGTCCTAGCAGGCAGCCAATAGGAATTTCAACCAGGCTGATTGGACAGAGGCAGCCAAAGGAGGAGCAAGGGAGCTGGGCTGAGGGAATATAAGTGCTGGCCATAATGGCAGGAGGCCAGGCCAGAGCTTGGTAACCATATACCACTGTGCCTCTCATTTATTTGTCTGACAAATAAATTATTATTTTAATTTCTCTATTGCTGCGTTGAATATTTCATTCCAGCTAAGCGTTAACCACAAGCAGGGTGCTACACTGTCTCTCCTCCCATTCAGCTTCATTGCAGGACCTCAGATTCTAATGTTATTATGAGAAGTGAAAAACAAAACAAAAACCCTTCTCTTTCTTCACGCCATACATAATTTTATGAATTTCTTCATTTCCCCTCTTACTTGCCTTCTTTTCCTAACTAAAAAGTCCAAATGTTGTCACCTTCTAGGGAAATTGCTACAACCCTCTGAGCATTTTGGTTGTATGTTTTAATGAAAACGCTAAACATAAAATTGTTTACTGCATCAGTTTCTGTCCTTGCAGGATATCTTTAAAAATCATCAAATGGCTGTGCGGGGTTCGGGATGCCACAATAGTTGTGTTTATGCAAGTACACCATCATTTCGCTTCTGCAGCTACTGCCAGCTAATGGGATCAAGATACCATGTTCCCCATGTCAAATTTTAGAATGTAAACTCCTCAGGGCAGGAACCTGCCCTCTTGCAGTCCAGAAAGTGCCATGTGTGCTGATGGCACTCTATAAATAAACAGGCATTTCCTTGAACTTTGGCTTTTCATTTTTTCATTCAGGGAACAGACAATAGGGACCCTCCGGGTCTAGCATTTTCCCTGATCCAGCTCCCTCCTCTCCGCATTCTTCGATCGAATTCTTCGATCGGGCAGGCTGTCAGTTGGTCTCAGACACCCACACCACAGGGTCCGACTTTCCAAGTCGGTTAAGGCAGACCTGAAGGTGTGGATGACATTTTTGGAACACTACAATGGGGTATCCCTATAGCAGGATGTTCTAAATTTGTCCTCAGATTTCCAGGTCCAATCAGATGCGGCAGGGTCCCTGGGCTTTGGCTTGTACTTCAGGGGACGATGGTACGTGCAACGATGGCCAACGGGGTGGCAGGGCCAGGCCATCATGTGGGATCTCTCCTTTCTCAAGTTTTTTTTCCAATAGTAGTAACAGTTCACATCTGGACGGAGGAGTTTCGAAATCGCCGTGTGTGCTTCAGGACCGACTACCTGGCAGTGGTGAACATACTGGCCAGGCAGTCATCTCGGTCTGCGAGGGTCTCCTCCCTTCTGCGGGCGTTTGTTCTCCGGTGCCTTGAGTACAACGTAATTTTTCAGCCAAATTCATACCAGGGACCAATAATGATATAGCCGATGCCTTGTCTCGCTTTCAGATATCTCACTTCCGGTCGCTAGCACCTGGAGCACAACTGTTGCCCGAACCCTTTCCGGAGCACCTGTGGAACGTTGGAGATGCAAAGTGATACAGGGAGTATTAGCGTCTGTCGCACCCTCCACTCTCAGGTCTTACAAGAAGGCCTGGTGTGATTTCCTGGGTTTCAGGTCTGGGGTATCTGGGCTTTCGCATAACGTGCCACCCACCACTGATGATGTGCTGCAGTACCTTTCCCATCTTGACGATTTGGGACGTGCTCCCAAAACCTTAAAGATACACGTAGCCGCCATCAGCTTCTTTGCTAAAGCCACATTTTCCTCCGATCCGTGTGGTGACTTCCTGATCCGCATAGCTATTGCAGGTTGGGGCAGGCTACAACCCCCCAGGGCCGAGGGCCGTAAGCCAATTTCTTATGGGTTGCTATCTCAGATACGCATAAAGCTCAGGTCAATTTGCTGGACCAGGTTTGTAACCCGCCTCTTTTCCGCGGCGTACGCTATCGCCTTTTTGGCGCTCTGGGAGTTGGTGAAGCTGTGGTTGAAGTTAGCGCAGGAGGTTCAACGCGCGCCCTCCTTAGGGAGGACGTGCAGTGGTCCGAATCTAGCTTGACGGTACGGATACGTCAGTCCAAAACTGATCAGGCAGGTATGGGTGTTCTAGTTAAGCTTACAGTGTCGGCGCGGCAGGGCCCATGCCCGGTAAAGGACACTAGATGGTACCTTTACCTCAGACCGCCCGGTTCTGGCCTGCTCCTGGTTCACGGGGATGGGTCACCTTTGTTGAGACACCAATTCACAAGGGCACTCCGCAAAGCTATTGATGCCTGTGGTTTATCTTCCCAGGATTATGCGGCACACTCATTCAGGATTGGCGCCGCCACAACAGCTGCACGCTTGGGCCTGCCAGCGGATAAGATTAAGGAAATGGGCCGGTGGAAATCCGACGCTTATAAAGATTACACTCGTTAGAATGCGCTCTGCTCCTTTACCTCTACTTATCCGTAATTTTTTACTTTCCTTTATTCTCAGCCGTTCTCAGAAGTGTCTGGATTTGTGGCCATGGTATAGTCCATTCGGCCCACGTACAGTCAGTAAGCTGTGGCCTCACCCCTAACCCTGGATTGCCACCTGGAGTGCGAGTTTCCTGGTTTTCGAGACGAGGCATTGCTTATGCCATTGCTGAGTGCGAGTTTCCTGGTTCGAGACGAGGCATTGCTTATGCCATTGCTGAGTGCGAGCTTCCTGGTCTTCGAGACGAGGCATTGCTTATGCCATTGCTGAGTGCGAGTTTCCTGGTTTTCGAGACGAGGCATTGCTTATGCCATTGCTGAGTGCGAGTTTCCTGGTTTTCGAGACGAGGCATTGCTTATGCCATTGCTGAGAGGGAGAGTTGCCGCGTTTGGCCCTCCTGACATCCTTATCCTTCAATTAGGGGAATATGACCTTGTTAGCAGAAGAAGTGTGGACTTGTCGTGGCACATAAAAAGAGATTTGGATGAGATTGCTGCCTTGTGTCCCGGAACAGCGGTGTTCTGGTCCTCCTTCCGGAAGAGAGTTGTGTGGCACAGTGTGCAGAACTGTATGGCCATTGAAAAATCCAGGAAACTCTTGAACTGTATGGCCATTGAAAAATCCAGGAAACTCTTGAACTGTATGGCCATTGAAAAATCCAGGAAACTCTTGAATCGTGCAATAGCCCGTTGGGTGCACTTGTTGTATGCCGAGTCATCTCTCATGACCGTATCCGGATTGGCGACCAAGCCTTGTACCGGAATGACGGAGTTCATCTAACAGACATTGGGGATGACATCTGGTTGGACAGCGTTATTAGTAGCATTAGGGATTGGTTGCAGCTGTGAGGGTATTGGCGGCGAGCCTCTTTGTGGCTCGGGTGGCGGTTAGGCATTGGATTCATGTGTTGTGCTGTGTCAAGGGCTAGGTGTGGCCATCGCCTATGCTATCTACCGTGGGTTATTCCGTTAAAGGAATCTGGCGGTCGTGTATTCCGTCCGATGCCTGCTTGGCGGGAGGCCATGGCACGACCCTCGGTGACATCAGGGGGTGAGCCTATAGTTGGATTGGCATCAACAGGCTCCACCTACTGTTGAATAAACCCACCTCCTATAGTCATCCAATGCCTAAGCCAATACCTTTTCACTGCTGTAATCAATAAAGTTGTGGCCTTTCCTTGCCCATTAACCTTATATCACGTGTCCTTGTGTATTTATTTCACATAGCGGGGGTCGGGCCCTCGATCCACAAAGACTCTCCTCCCTGGAAGAGAGGGGAGTGGTTGTGGGCGGGAGACCGAGCTCCGCCCCTGGTAGGGGGCCTTAGCCCCCTCCCCTCCTTACCTGGCTGGCGCCCACGCCCACTGGAGGCAGCCAACCAGGTGCCTCAGGGGGGCGTGTGTAGCAGCTTAATGCTGTGGCGCCAGCTCCGCCTCCTCCTCATTCGTTGTCGTCCCTCAGCAAGTCACCCACCCTCCACTCCCATTTAGCTCAGGGTCTAGGTTTTTGGCCTTGCTATGGACCTTAGGTTGGTCGCCCCGGTTGTCTGGGGGGCCTGGTAGGAATTTTTCCATTTGACATTAGGCTTTTTGGTTTTTTCGCCTACCTCGTAGCAATCGTCACAACTTTTGTGGTATTGGTGGGTAGGTTAGGCATTGGATTCATGTGTTGTGCTGTGTCAAGGGCTAGGTGTGGCCATCGCCTATGCTATCTACCGTGGGTTATTCCGTTAAAGGAATCTGGCGGTCGTGTATTCCGTCCGATGCCTGCTTGGCGGGAGGCCATGGCACGACCCTCGGTGACATCAGGGGGTGAGCCTATAGTTGGATTGGCATCAACAGGCTCCACCTACTGTTGAATAAACCCACCTCCTATAGTCATCCAATGCCTAAGCCAATACCTTTTCACTGCTGTAATCAATAAAGTTGTGGCCTTTCCTTGCCCATTAACCTTATATCACGTGTCCTTGTGTATTTATTTCACATAGCGGGGGTCGGGCCCTCGATCCACAAGTTCAATCTAGTACTATTAGTGTATAAAGCCCGTAACAACTTGGAACCAGTTTACCTATGAGATCGCTGTACCCCACCTGTGTCCACTCGACTGCCTAGATCAGCAGAATTGGCACCACTACATGCGCCACATAATACCCATTCCACATTTTTAAGGACTTGATTGTTTGGTGTGGCAGCACCAGCACTTTGAAACTCGCTGCCTATTGAGATTGAGGTGTAACCTTCACTGTATTCTTTTCAGCACCTGCTAAAAACATTCTTGTTTAGACATGTCTACCCCGATGCTTAGAAAGTTGAGGTAATTTTAATCTGTTTTAGTATTTTAACTATTGTATGTTTTAAAGTATGGTTGTGAAGTTTCATTGATTTCATTGTTTTATCTTTTTGTAAACTGCATTGAGGTTTTGTGTATAATGTTTTGCAGAAAATATATACAGAAAAACACATGGGGGAGGAGAATTCAGCACTGTCTGACTATCTATCTATTGACTGATTGATTGATTGTATATGCCATCCTTCATCCAAGGATCAGTGGACACAGATGTTGGATGTGGGGAATGAAAAGTAATATACCCTGGATAAAGACTTGGCTGAACTGGGTAAAAGTTTGAACAGCAGCACTCTACCCTGCAACATGTTACCCGCATTGTTACAACAGCCCTGTAAAGTAGGCCTTATTATCAGTAAAATATCACAAAATAGTATGCAACCTTTTGAGTTCACCTGAACTCTTCAATTCATGCTAGATGGTAAACCAGCAAATGGGTTGGGAGGAAATGGGGGCAGATGTTAGCTGAAGTCCTGGAGTAACATGGAATTGGAGAGGAGGTAGCAGACATTCAAATATGGCCCTTTTGAGTGCTATGTAGGTATTAGCTTGCACCAACACCTGCAGAGAACAATAAAGGTAACAGTGGCTGAATTCCCCATGGCTGTTACCCAGGTGTATCTCCATCCTTAGTAAAACACACAGGTTCCATGGTAGGTGTAAGACAGGAATCAAAAGAAACTAGGCAGTCCTTACTTTAGCAAAGTATTCTTTTGGAAGATTTGCTAGTAATAGAAATTAAATACCAAGTAGTGTTTTATCCCAAGTTGTTTTCAATTTTTGAACCTTGGGGAAGAAGAAATAGAGTTAAACATACCATTCTCATACCAATGACCTCTTTGGCCCAGGCTCAAGCAGTTTGCTGCATGAGAAAAAATAATTAACAAGTATGAAAAGGCAAATTTACTTACCTCCAAAGCCAGGTCTCATTGCAAAATCATGGTCCTCTATACGGAGAAGCTGCTCAGATTTCATGGGCCGTACTTTGGTGCTGTCAATTTTCCTCATCTTAATTTCTCGTTTGCTGCATTAACAATAGATAATTAAATGTATACCCCACCACATGTTGCCAGAGGTTTCTGAGGGTGATCTATATAGGAGTTGCTGTTTTTAAAAATCAACAATTAAAACTGAGTATCACTAAAAGCAGAACAATTCAGTCAGAGTGTACCATACTATAACCACAGAGCAATAGAATGATATAAACAGGTCAGTTTAAAATAACAACCTGCCTTGCCTTCCAAATGGCTGCTAGAACAATGAATTTCAAGAAGGTATGGGCAGAGCCAGTGAGGTGCTAATTTAGGGTTGCCATATCTTGAAGAACAAAAAAGAGGACCGCGCTGCTGCCAGCCCGAGCCAGGAAAAGAGGTGTGTGAGGCCACTATCACCACGTCTCTTTCCTTGGTTTGGGCTGGCAGTGGCCACGGCGTGCAGAGCAGGCCAAGCTGCCTGAGCTCAAAACCCACCCACTACAAACCCGAAATTTTCCTTTAAAATGTAAAAACCCACCCAGGGTGGGCATGTTGGCCACCAAAAGGAGGATATATCCAGGTTTCCCCAGATATATGACAACCCTAGGTGGGGAAAACCCATGTGATCCATCGCCCACATGCAGCTGTTGTTATTTCAATGCTCAAATCCGAGGGGGGGAGTGCGGCAACCCTTATCTACTGATTTTAGAATACTGATAGGGCAAGATTTGGTTACAATTAGGGGGAGTCAAGCAACAGGTCTCTTAAGTTTTATTAATAACTTCACATATGCATACTTTTCTCAATAATTCACTGTCAAGTGTTTCAGATATCAGCACAGGGAAGTGGCTCCTGTAGAAGGTGTGTGTGTGTGTGTGTGTGTGTGTGTGTGTGAGTGAGAGAGAGAGAGAGAGAGAGAGAGAGAGAGAGAGAGAAAGGAAGGAAGGCCGAACAGGCAAACTACAGTGTGGTTCTTCCTTCTATGATAAGACTGTACCGTGTTGAAGAGGGACAGATTTAAGTAATTCAACTCCCTGCACTGCCCCCCCAACCAAAATATGTGGACCAAATTCCTATTCATTGGATGCAGTATTCATCAATTTCATCCACTTCAAGCATGGGAGACACTCCAGGGCAGTGTGGCTACTTCATACACTACTCTGGTAATGCCAGAAGCTCCGGACCATATGGGACATGCCCACAAATTTGGCTGCTGCCAGTGCTGCCCCATCCTACAGGTAACTCAGGCAAAGCTGCCTTGGGGAAAGTTGCATCTTCTCTGCTTGCACAGAGCCCAAGGCAGGAGGTTTTGAATGTGGTGTTATATTACAGCTGTATATACAGGTTGATTGTGCATTAGGTTTATTTATTTATCTATTATTCTCTGTTTGTTTGCCTCTAAGCATGACTGGCTATTATTGCCCTTTCTCTGTTTTTTTAATATAAGCTCCTTTCTGAAAGCACCTTTTGTCCATCAGGACCAGTATTATCTATTCTGTCGGTGGTTGCTCAAGGTCTCAGGTACATCAAAAGTACTCCTTTAATGGAATGCCAGAGCCAAGCCAGAGTTTCTTGCTGCCCTGGGCAAAATAAAATATACCCGCCCCCCTTGTTTCTTCCTGTATGCTAAGCAGTATAACGGCAGCACATTAAGGAAAGCAGCCTTGTTTTCTCACATTCATTTTTAACATCTGTGAATTCATCACCAATGGTGATCAGAAACCCCTTAGTCAAACCCCATGAAATGCAGCCAATGTCATCTAGAGAATGGACAAAAAGTATTGGCAGTAGCTCTTTCCCCAGGACAAACAGCATTACTGAAACAGGCACCCTGAAATGCTGGCACTCAAGGCAGTTGCCTAGTTCACCTCTATGGTTAGGCCAATCATGGCAACAGACAGGTTTCTGGATCTTTCATACAATACAATATCAACTGGACATCAGTGTGTCTGGAAAAGCCCTTGGAAGAGCCTCTAAATTACTACCTCCACTTTCCTGTCTCTTGTGTATTTCCTAGCTTGTCCATATTTTCTGTTAATTTAACTGGAACTCAGTCACAGAGTCATCGCTAGAGGATTGTGTCCTTAGTGCATATCAATTTGATCACTTGGATTCTATATCCCAAATCTCCGGTGCTGGCTATGTCACATGAGAGCCTTTTAGAGTCACATGCTCAACCCCCCCCCAAAGGTCATTCCTGGTCGCACGTAACTGAATGTTAATATAATGAGTACTTAGAAATTGATTTCTTTATTATGGCTTCAACTTACTCTGCAAATCCTGAGTTAAGCGGAGCATTTGGCTTACGTAATCAAGACTGCTGTGGCTCTTTCAGAGGAAAATTGTGAATGAACTGAGAGCTTGAGTTCACCACTGGAAGTTCTAGGAAATATTGAGTAACCCATATATACACATAGATGTGTCATAAGCAGCAGACAATGGGCTTCAGGGATGCCACCATGTTGCCTTGCAGCCTTACTTTGAATTAACATTTTGGTTTTAAACTCACAGCTGTGTCTGAAATTAATATGACGGGCAGAGCAATCCTATAGGGGCAGGGGGGGGGACTCCATGGTGAAGAAACTACCACTTCTTGATCCCTACCAAGTTAAAGATAGGGGCACCTTCTAACCTATCCTCAGATATTAAAAAAAAACCCTCTCATTGGTTTCTAAGGCTACAGTTTCCCCCCCTTTTGATGCATGTGTCGGGAGAACAGGAGGGCGTTGGATCCTGCTGATCTAAGGCCTCCTATCCACCCCAACATGCCCTTTCTATTCTCATACCACAAATTGGAACACAGACCGTGAAAGAGAAATATTGGCTGCGCTTTCTGCTGCTGCACTAAGGAAACCTCCAGCAACAACAGACTTCATCCGTCTGTGACCTCTGTGAACCAAGAGGGAGGTCTGCAACATCCAGCAGCTCCTCAGTTGCTCACTCAGGGAGGTTAGGATTGCTCCCTAAATAGGATCAAGGAAAAACACTGACTTCACTTATAACTGTATGAGTTAGCAGGAACACAGGAAGATGTCTTGTATCAGAAGAGAATACTTGTTGAGTTAGCCCAGTATTATATACTTGGACTGATAACAGCACTTAGGGGTTTCAGGAGGAGATTGCTCTTGTCACCGGCTACCTAATAATTTTAACTGGGGGTGGCAGGGATTGAACTTTAGATCTTCTGCATGCAAAGCAGATATTCCTGTATAGCTAGCACTCTTCAAAAGGATGCCCTGGTCTCCCCACCTAGATGCTTTCCCTCCATAAATATCAGATTATCACACCTGTTCTAGGGTGGTCCCTAAATGTCAAAAAGTTTGCCTTATTGCAAAATATTCCAGCTCTGTGAAATAAGCATCACCAACTCCACAATATTCCATTGAACAAACACTAACTCCACTGCATTTCCAAAGCTTCCAATGACTTTCATCTTGGCCAGTGGATAACTCTACTCCACAATGCATGCCTTTAGTTCGTTATTCGTAAAAGGTGTGGTGTCCCACATTATACCCTGTTTCAAGATGTTTTGTGCCAGATGTTTTCTGTATCTCATTTTAGATGACCAAGTATGCTGATGACAAAATGATGACAAAGGTTAGACACAGTTATAAGACCCTACACCAAATAATTATGGTGAGAAATATATCCCTAAATAAGACTACATAGGGTTTGTCCAGCTGTGCACCCCCTCATCTGATACTACTTGCATTTTTTTTAATGTACACATTAAATGCAAAGGTGCATTTGTCATCAGGTCTAGCTTGGTCCAAAGTTAAACCTGGCACTGGCCTGCCTTTTAACTGCAGTATCTTCTCCACTGGTAAAAAATCCAAGATAAAAGATTCATTTCACAAAATACATTAAATAGCAGTAACCTTTGGGTCTAGAACTAAGCTCTTCACCTCAGGGGTCATGACAAGCCCCTGAATTTTCATAAATACATCCATTATTATGTAATCTCTACTTGCATTTACTTAAAGATTTTCTTCCATTTCAGACAACGTTGGGGAAAACATCAAACTATACATGTCTAGTGCCACATGCATAAAGCCTCCCTCTGACTAACAAACAATGAGATGATTGTCTCCTCCCACATTTCCCTCTCCCCAGGTGATCAGTACCGTATTTATCTGTTCTCCCACCTGAAGCAGGCTTTGGAAGCGGATGCTTGAGGAAGAGAAAAGGAAGCAAGCTATATATAACAACCTACTTCTGAAAATTGTCGACTCTCGCTAGATTGTGGTTTATGAGCACAATCTGTTGGAAACATCATTGAAAAGCTCTATATTTTGTTCTTCCTGCACAAAGCATACAGCTCCCAAACTGAATTATATTTCTTGTGATTAGGATTAGCTCTCATTTTCCTGGGTACTGTGTTCTAAAACTGCAATGTACAGCAAAAGTCTAAGTTCAGGAATTCAACTAGAAACTGAATAAAATATATTAACTAGCTTAAAGGCTGGGATTTAGAGATGCTGATAAAATAATTCCACGTATTAGAACACAGTTAACTATATTCCAAATGAAAGGCTCCTGTAACATGATTAAAATCAGATTTGAGACTGGTTTTTAAAAATCCTAATTATATACTTTCTTTGTTTTTAGAAACAAATAGCTACTACCACTGACATTTAGGGAAACAAATGTAACACAAAAATTATATATAACACTGGCTTAGAACTAAATATGTCATACAGAAAAGAAATAAGCTTTTATAAACAATCACCTTAGCTTTTTAGCATTTTACATCTCGTACTTTCCATTACTGTATTTTTGCACCCAATAATTATTGTATAGTAAACATATAGATCACTATATGCTATATATAGGACCATGCACAATATACATATATGAAATGTAGAAAAGGAAATTTTAATAGCTTAGTTTATATGAATGCATTGTTGTGTTTCTGTTCCTCGATGCACACAAAAACAGTCCTTCCGATCAAACCAAGAGCAAGTCATCTTTGGGATGGCGGCAGACATACAGAGTGTACATAAACAGAACAGCAGCCATGATGCCCAGTGACCATTTTGCTCACCTGTTATGTCTTTTCATGAATGACCTTTGAGGATGGTGGTGGTGGTAATGATGATGATGATCACTGTGACTGATTAAAAGAGAAGTAGGCCATATACAGGTGAGGAGCAACAGTTTTATTGCAAGGATCATGTCTTCAAGTCACAGGAGTAAAACCGATTCAATCAGCCCACATTAGTAAGCTTTCATTCTCCAGTTATTAAGAAACAACATACGATGAAGAGGATGCAAATAATATGAGGCACTGCAATATAGGAGAGGCAAAAACATCCCAGTTTTCATTCTTCTTCGAAGTATCCACTTATTCTTGAAATTTTATAAATCCTTAAAATCCGCATCATACCACATCTTATGGTGTTGCTATCCAGATGCTGCAGTTTTCCCTTTAGGACTCTATTAAGCAAAACAATATATTCAACTTATTCCCATTTTCATCCATTCTTCCGTTGTCTCTGGGTGTGTTCTTAGTCCAGTGTTTTAACACCCACTCACTGTACTCTTCAGTGGAGCTCTTGCACAGACAAAAGAGTGATGTCAAACATTTAATCCCTTTAATCCCACACAGCACCACAAGGAAAAAAGAGCTTTCATTACCCTATGAAAATCTGTGATTAATGAGAAAAGATCAGAAAATTAAGCTTACTTACCGCATATGCAGAAAATCATTTTCAGCCCATCAATAAAAATGCTTAAATTGTGTAAGTAGCATAGATGGCAAAAATTATCTCTGGCTGCGTTATAGGGTAACAAGCATTTGTCTCGACTGGGAAACTAGATGATGATGAAGTGTTTGGCAATTCATTGGAATCTTGGAGATATTAAGGTTTCTCCTTCTGAAAGTAAGTAAAGCAGAGCTGTTGGTTAGATCTAAGAATACACCCATGCAAACACACACACACACACGTGGTGAAATGTGTGTGGAAATGGTAATTATAGTCCACATCTGAGGACAAATTACAGTTTTCCTGATTAAGTGGTAATAAATTTATGAGAGATTTTGGGGAGGAAGCTGCTGCTTTCAGTTATGATGTACTTTAACCAAAGCATTTTTACAAGTTTTCATTTATTCAGTAAATCCCAACGTTTGCAGCCAGTACCATCCTCTGACTCGTACAAATCAGAACTTAGAAGGAGCCAAAGCTCAGTTATAGAGAACACACTGAACGTACAAGGTCCTCAGTGCAGTTCTTGGCATCTCCAGCATGGGCTGGCAGCAGGGCTGAGAAATACCCTCTTAATGAGATTTTGGAGAGCCGCTACAGGTCAGAAGAAACAGTACTGGGTCAGAAGGGCCAATGACCTGACTCGACAGTTTCATGTTTTCAGCTGCATCTGCTGATGCAGTTCAACTGTACAACTTCCTTGTTCACCAAGAGTATTATTTGGTTTTGAAGACAGAGCTTGAAATTTTATTTAAGAACCCTTCTGGATTAGACCAAAGGCATTTAGTCCAGCACCCTGTTGTAATGGAGTCTATGAGCCATGTGGTTAGACGTTACACTTCCTAAACAGAAATGACCATCAAAAGCTTATAGAACCTTCCAGTCTACAAAACACTGTGCCTGTCTCAATTGCTTCGAGGTATCCAAATTGGTTTGCTTTCTTTAGTGCATCCAGTGCTAGAATGTTAATGTATCCCTCAGCTAGGATGAACACATGCGCTCTGTTTGAAGGGCTATTTAAAGATATAGAACCATAAGAAGGGAGAGAGGGGACTTTGAAGTTGTCCATCAGCTGCTAGCACTTGGACAGCAGACTGAGCAGGCATCTGATTACAGTCTTCCTCACTTTGGTGGCATGTATTATACTTCTACAGTGGTTAATTCTCAGTTTGGATCTATGCACAGAAATTAGCACATCCAACCCTCAGGATGATCCTGTATAGTGTTCTCTTTTTCTAATCTGGGGAACAATGGTACCAGAGCATGACATAATATCAATATAAATCGCCATTAAGAAAGCAGGTTAATCTTTCTGCTGTAATAATTCCTAAGAGAAGGTTTTTTTGTGTTGACATATAAATGCAACTTAATGGACAATGATTATAATGAGTCAGCCATTGATCTTTCCCCCACTACCCAAATACAAAAATAAAATAAAATTGAACATCTGGCTTTGTGCTACCATTAAAATGTTTTCTTAACTTTATCCCTTCACTTTTTCCCCATGCAAAGCTCATAATGCTTAGCTTTTAAGGATATAACATATTCTGTGGCAGTCCTACAAATGGAAATTATCGACCAAAACATCCGCACTCCTGCGTGGGTGTGGGGGCTGAAACAAAGAATGAAATTAATTCCACAAATGCTTAGATTAATTTGTTGTTTTCTCTATACCTAGGATGTATGGCAGGTGAACAATTTAGAAGCAAACATATATGTAAATAACTATTCAAATGAGACAAATACTGAATTGTAGAGATGTGTTATAAGCACAATCTTAATGTCTTACCAGCTCAACTCTTGACAGCAAAAGCTGGTCCAGATAAAAACAGTTAGTGAGCATTGGATTCAAATTATTTGCAGGAACTAGATTTTTTGGCCTGGATAGTCAGTTTGAAATTGAACATCTGTAACTATTTCCCAAATCTGGTTGGAAGCAGGAATTTGTGTTCTGGATTCCATTTCACACAATATGAGGGTTCCCCAGAATCTCATGATAGCTAACTGGAGAGTAATGGGCAGAATCCAATTTTCGTAGAACTGGTGATAGGCCTGTGCTTGCACAGAAGCATCTAGAACAGAGCTTTCCAAACTGTGTGTCACAACACGTTAGTGTGTCAGCTGCAGGGCTGGAAAGGGGTTAGTAAATCTGAATTACTGTGTCACGAAATGGCGCATGTCTAAAAAGTGTGTTGCCAACATGAAAAGTTTGGAAAGCTCTGCTCCAGAAGAGCTAATGTGAACTAACTGTGATAGTGCAGGAGCTGAATCTTATGCCTACAAAGAATGCAAGTCAAATATAGCTATACCAATAATTCAGGAATAGATCATCCTACTCACATTCAACTAGCATTAGTTAGTTTATCATAGACAAAGGCCAATAAGGAAAGAAGCCTGGTGTGGACACACACAAGGTTTCTCTCCCTCTTTCTTGAAGATAATTGAATTAATCGTTCCAGCATTATCTAATGAAGCTGAATGGTAGAGGATTCAGGATAGACTTCTTCACACAATACATGGTTATCGAATTTACTGCTACAAGATGTGGTGATGTCTACCAGCCTTAGATAGCTTTAGAAGAATATCTGACAAATTCATGGATGACTGCTAGTCATAATGGTTACATGCTACATCCAAGATCAAAGGCCTTTGAATATCAGTAGCTGGGAACAACAGCCCTTGTGTGTTGTTTGTGGGCTTCTCAGAGCCACTGACTTCAAGTTATAAGAAAGGAGATCCCAACTAAACATCTGACAGTAAGAGCTGTTCAACAGTGGAACTGTCTCCCTCAGGACAGTGGAATAGTCTCCCTCTTTCCTTGGAGGTATTTAAGCAGAGGTTGGACAGCCATCTGTCATGCATGCTTTAGCTGAGCTTCATCCGTTGCAGGGGGTTTGACTATATTTTTCTAGAAAGTTATGGGGCAAAATGTGTAAGTACTTTTTAAGTGATTTATGTAAAATGAAAGTGAGTGTGGTGTGGCTACCTTGCATATTTTTCCTGGTTCTGAGGAACATGCCCTTTTGCTATTAGGCAGCAACAGCATCACAAATCTGCTTGTAAAATCTGGTGCTTCCAGAACTTTCTGAAATTTGAAATGTGTGCACTTGTCCAAAAAGTTTTCGTGCAACCCCTGGTTTATAATACATATCAGTCAGAAAATTTCATTTAGTTGTTCATATAATGCCATTTATGTACACAGCATGTTGCAAATAACAGTTTGACAGGCCCCTACAGACAAGCAGCAAACAATTTTTTTAAAAGAAAGAAAGAAAGCAGAAGACCACTGTTTGGACAGATACATGAATTTTGGTGCTTTGGATATCCTACCAATAATGAATTCATTTCCCAAGTTTGAATCCTCATTTTAAAAACAGCTTCCTCCATGCACACAAAAATGAGTTATCAGAAGATTTGGAAGAAACCCCAAGTTGGCAGAAGTTTAAAAAAATCCTTACCAAAAAACCCCTCTTAATTTAGGGAGGGAGGACACATCAAAACAGCCCAGTTAAAAATGAGCAAGCTTAGGGGTCAAGAGCAGGGAAGGAGTTTCCTAGAAGAGGGTTTACTCAGTTGACTAGAACATTAACAGGAACACTCCCACTGCAACATTTGTTGAAAGCCTCACTAGTACCTTTGCAGTACAAAATTAATAAAGTCACAAGTTTTTGAAGATGAGCAGAGGCATTTTAAATTCAGTTGGTGATGTTTCTAAAACTGTAAGACTGGGTTTTGACTTGCTCCGAGTTTCTCATTTTCTTTGAAGTCATAGCAGCTGTGCATTTTCATATAATCAGATATTAGTGCTGAAGTAGGGGGAAATCACATGGGTTGAGCAAGTATTTTGTGAAGCTATTTTGCTTCTAAATCCAAGATGCTTCATCATTCTGCTTTAGCAAGTCCAATCACTGAATTAATTTCATCCCTAAATCCTCTCATTTACTTTCTGCACAAGGCAGCATATCAAGTAAACTGTTTTAAAACAAAGGTAATATTAGGGGGAGATGTAAATCTGATGGTGGCGTGTGAAACTCTACAGCGGCTTATACACCTTCCTGATCTGAATCCGTAAGGCATTTTTTCTTACTGTTAAATAAAAATGAATGGCTTAAGATGGGCGGTGCTTGTGAACAGAACATGCCAGATGCGGCTGAAGCTGACAACATAATCTTAGTGTGTTACTAGGGAAACACAAAAATGTATTCCAAATGCCCTCCTCACCCTGCCTAGCTAGACAGTAAATTGAACTTCAGATACTTGTGAGCACACGCAAAGACCCTGCTCCCTTTTATTCTGAATTCATTAATCTGCAATAACTACTATCCACCTATTTACAGTCACGTGGACAGCAGCATCAACAGAAATACACACTGAGAGATATTTTAAGTGGTGTTCAACTTTGGCATACTGGATTCCTTTCTGAGTCTCTTATATGCCTGCTTCATCATGGTCTGGTCTGGTCTGAGGAAGTATTGAAGGTTTAAAAAGCAGCTTGAGAATTAAAAGCTATTTCTTTTATATGAAAACTTGCAATGAAGTAGCGAAAGAAAAGAATTTTAGACTAAGGGGACATATTGTTTTCTTGTATTTTCTTGTTATTTAAGTAGTCTAAAATCTCTCAGAGAGGGCAGATAGCATTCAAAAAGTTGGAGTTAGGCTGCAGAACTAAGAGAAATTACAACAACCAAAGAATGTTTAAAGCTTACCTAAAGGTAAACGTAAACCATTAGGTCCAGTTGCAGACAACTCGGGTTGTGGAGCTCATCTCGCTCTATAGGCTGAGGGAGCCAGCGTTTGTCTGCAGACAGCTTCCAGGTCATGTGGTCAGCATGACTAAGCCGCTTCTGGCAAATCAAAACAGCACACAGAAATGCCGTTTACCTTCCCGCTGGAGCGGTACCTATTTATCTACTTGCACTTGACGTGCTTTCGAACTGCTAGGTGGGCAGGAGCTGGGACCGAACAACGGGAGCTCACCCCATCGCAGGGATTCGAACCACCAACCTTCTTGATCGGCAAGCCCTACACAGAGCCAAATTTGTTCTGATTGTAAATTGCTTTGTAACAAAAATGGTAACCTGAGTAATGTAGCTGGCTCCTTGTATCTATCTAGATTTTAGCTGAATAGATGTAATTTTGACTGGACACACAGGGAACATTACAATATGATAACATTGTGTGCCTGATAGATGCTAGCACAGAAAAGCTTAATGAAAGAAGCTTTCCCAGAGGACTGCCAAAAACAACAGCTGATTCCTGATACTAAAGGCACACACAAGAAAACATACTACAACAGATTACAAATTACATATACTGTTGTTCAGTAATCCTCTTCTGTGTAGAGTAGGAATGTCTTATTCAATGCATGCAACAAGAAGACCCTACCAGCAGAATACTGATATGCAAAAAACAAGAGCTGATCCACAGCACTATCTTCCATATCTGGAAATGTAATTTGTATTTCCAGGGAGTAATAAAGGGATCCCATGCAGATTAGCAGAGCAAACCTGCAGATTTGTCTCTGAAAGCATTAGGAATTCTTAGTGGCCATGGAATAAGAGGATAGGTGTTCCTAAATATTAGTAATGGATTAAAAAACAAGAAGACAGTAATAAACAGAAAAAAAAATAATTACAGTGGGCAGTAATTGTGGAGTTCCTCAAGGATCCAAATTCAGATAAACGGTCTGTTCTGGAATCAGGGTAAACAGTACGGTAGTCATGTTTTTATGAGGCCTATATTCTCCCCCTATACCAAAGATGTTTCTGCTGTAAATGCCACCCCCAGCTAGCTGCCAGTTTTGGATCCCAGCCATGGAAAAAGCTATTTAAAAACAAGCTCCAGAAAGCAATTTCAGGAGAGAATCATCAGGCAGGGGAAAGTTTACATTCTCCTAATCCACCTACCAATTCCCATTTGCACAGAGAGGACTACCTGAACTAAGAATTAATTAACCAAAAATTATTATCATAAAGAGACATTAAAGAGCAGTAAGAGACAGAAAAAGGTATCCACTGCTGTTATCCTTGCTGTAGGGAAAAGCAGGCTAAGGACATGTAGGGAGAGGAAACTGCCAGGCCTCTGAATTTGGCTTTTTAAGGCCGTTTGGGGCAAACCTCACTCATATCATATTATGTCAGGTGGTTGGCTAATGGTGGGTTAATGCCACAGGTTCTCTCACCCCTGCTGCAAAAGATGAAGTTGTATGCTCAAGATGAAGGGGTCAGAGCGGCCCTTACTTACCATTTTGTACTTACTGAAACTGCTTAGCCTTAAGAGCGCTTCTTTGTCCTTTTCACACATGAGGGAAGTGGTTGCTGCTTCCTCAGGAGAATATAGGGTTTTCATATAGGGTTTTTATGGAGATTCAGCATCTCAAGGGGAAAACCTGCCTTTTATTCTGGATAGAAACTATTTAGGCCTACAGCCTCTCCACACAGCTAAACAGTCACTTTAAGCACCACAGCAAGTTCTTCCCACACTCCCATAGGAGGCAGTGGGGCTGCTCTTCCAAGCATTCCACCAGGCCTTTGGTCAGGGCGCAGCCTGACCCCCTCCTCTGGCAATCGGCAATATGCACAGAATTTGGCTTGATGGTTGCCATTAATTTGATTTAAATTTAATTTGATTTAATTAATTTTATAATGAATGTTTTAGAATGTCAGATTATTTTGATTGTTGTTAGCCGCCCTGAGCCCAGCTTTGGCTGGGGAGGGCGGGATATAAATAAAATTTATTATTATTATTATTATCATTAATCCTCAAGTTACCAAAAGGGCTGTTTCCACATACATTCACCTTACTAGGCCTCACCACTGCAAATAGGCTTAAAAAAAAAAAACCACTCAAAGGGGGTAGGGGAGCCTGTTTGAGAATGAGAAATATTTAGGGGATTAATCCTTCTCCCATAAGCCAGTTCTGCCTCCTGTGTGGTGTCCATCTTTAAGTGGGGTGAGGTAGGACTTACTGTATTGCTTGATGGGCATTTTAGGAATATAGTATTGTGTGTCATTTTAAATTTGGCTTATCTGTTTGCATTTTGTTGTTTAATTATAGCACTTATTACTGAGCATTTGGACAGAATACAGCTTGCATGTTTTTCTATCTCCAAAGGTAAATGAGCAAGAGAGAGGAACTGAACTACTGTATCTGTAGCCCCCCCGCCCCCAGGAATATTCCTGGCTGTTTTTCAAACAGAGGCTGGTTCCTTCAAGTTACAAGCACGCAATTGGCCTCAACCAGAAGTCAGGCATTTAGTGTTGCTGGTCTTACGTACTTCCAGCAGATTCTTGCAGTGAAACATGCTTCCAGTGGAGATTCAGCAGGCATCCTTGTTTATGACTGTCAGGTGTCTCTTGAAGACTTTTTATGGTGATAGGCATATCTTCTCGATTAGCTAGGCATTTGAATGATTTTGTGCTGTTTTTACGTTTTATTTAGATATAGTTGTACACCATCCTGGTGTTTTATAGGATTTATGCTTTTATGCTTTTATAAAGCAGCCATCCCATGGACACTCTCAGAAGTACAGTTGTGGTATACTGTGGTCCATTGTGTCTGTGTACCTGCTTACAACATGGGCAGTCCCCAGTACATGGTTTATCTTCATACCATTGCCAGTCTTAGCAGCAACTTATAGTAGTCCAGAAACAAGCCTTGATGCAGCGACTAAGAGTTTCAAGTGGCCTCCCACTAAGCAACTATATTGTATGAGTGGCCCTGTGATGTAGGGGTGGTTTTGAGTTTAATGAAATTTTTACTCTGACCCCTCTTCATACAACTGTATGCATGCCTCACAATCACAATTTGTGACTGTATATCAAAGGTGGGGATGGCAGCATGCTTTTCTTCGGGTAAGGACCAGTGGCGCAGTCCTGCTCTTCCTTAACCATAGGTTATTTTATTTTGGACATTCCTGCAAGTGCGCTATCAATAACAGAATCCAAATTTTAGAGTACACCCAGGTGTGAAATTGAGGTACATCCAGGTAAGTAGTTTGTCCCTCAGTTTAGTATAGAAGATCTCATTAACAATGGATATTCCATGTTCTCTTGTTCTTTGCACCTTTTTCACACATTCACAGTAGCCTTCAGATGTTCTTAGAAGTGTACAGAAGCAGAGTAGGAAAAGGACTACTATCTGGCTTTACAGTCACTCCCTAAGCACCTGCCACCCTGTAATTTCAGCTTAGATCTCACAATGAGGATTTGGGTTGGAAACTTTCCATGAGTGTAAATTCCTGTGATGCCTGTCTTTTTGTCAGCAGATTGTGTCATTGCATTTTGTGACTGATGATAGAAGAGGAAGCTAACTGTGTGCCTCTGATGAGCTGAAGAGAAGCCTGGCAGATGAAACCAGTTACTATTCAATATTTCTCCATGATATCACAAGCTTCTGTTTTTGTTTTAGATCCAAACCCTGAAGCAGTCACACACTCCTAAAATGAAACATTTAACTTTAGCACATAAAATAAAAGTTCTGACTTAAATGTCTTTTAAGAAGGCAGAATAAGTTTCTAGTCAACTTACAAGTTATGTAAGTCTCCAAACCCCAATAGGATTTCTGTGGGGAAGGGTGGAAACTGAAATTTCTGTAGTCAGTAGAGCAGTGTTTCCCAACCACTGTTCCGCGGCACACTAGTGTGCCGCGAGATGTTGCCTGGTGTGCCGCGGGAAAATTTTAAAAATTGAAAAAAATTTTTTTTAAGTCAAATTTTTGATTGGGGCGCCGTCACTAGATGACCCCTGGGGTTCCCTCCCTCCCTCCCGCTCTGCGCCTCCCTCCTCCTCCTCCTCCTCCGGGGAGGCCCTTCCTGGCTCTCGGCCAAGGCTTGGCGGCTGCCACTCACTCACTCGCTCGCCCACCCGTCCCTCCATCCCTGCACCCGGCCTCTCCCCCTCCGTCCCCGGCGCGGGGGCTGCCGGGATCCGTAGTCCCCTCGCCCTTGGGCTCCGCGTCCGCGCGGGGTGCGCAAACTACGTTTCCCAGCGTGGCCTGGTGGGCCGGGCGTTTTGTTTGAAGCGCTCTTCTCCCGGCCATGGAATGAGCGCAGCGGCGGCGGCCGGGCGGGCAGGGGCTCTTCCGCGCAGACCCCGCGCAGCCTGCCTGCACCCCCCGGAGATCGGGCGGCAGGATGGAGCCCGGGGATCCCCACGGAGGCGGAGCGGCAGAGGCGGAGGCTGCCCCCCAGGTAGGGCTGCGTCGGGGGTTTTTTATTTTTGCAATGCTGCATCCGCGCCGGAGGGGACGCATCGGACCGCGGGGAGACCCCTTGGCGGGCGTGCAAGGCAATGCATGCGTGCAGGCGTTGCATGGAGTGCAGTGCAATGCAATGGCAACGCGGCGCCCTGCATGCATGCAGGTGAGGGGGGTCCCCAGTGGGCGGCAGAGAGAGCCGGGAGGGCGAAGGGGAGCCGGGGGGGAGCAGCGCTGCTCCCCGAGCCGAGCCCGGGGGGAAACTTCGGCGTCGTTGCGCCGGGTGTTGGAAGCGGAGGCTGGCGGGGGCCCCTCACCTGCAAAACCTGGTCGCCTCTCATATATTTCGTGCATTGCATTCATCGCCCGCTTTCTCCTCCAAGGAGCTCTCGGGGGCGCGCGTGGTTCTCCCCGTGTTATCCTCGCAACAACAGCCCTGCGAGGTGGGTCAGGCGAGTGGCCCAAGGGAGCACCCAGGGATTGTCCTGGCCAGGTGGAGTGATTTGAACCCTGCTCTCTGCCCGGTCTTCGTCCTCATTTAGCCCCCACATGTGCATGACTGTGCATGACTGAGGTTTTCCCCCCTCGTCTTGGCTATGGTGTGAGTCTGTGCTGTTAATTAATGGGGTTCTGCCTTCGGAGAAGATGAGCCAGCCCTCAAGGAGGTGATTATGTAATTTGCTAGCAATTCATGTCCCTCCCGGCGTGACGCTGCGCGCTGACGTCACGGGGCTGTAATGGTGGTGTGCCTCGAGATTTTTTTCATGAAACAAGTGTGCCTTTGTCCAAAAAAGGTTGGGAAACACTGCAGTAGAGAATGTGATGTGTTGATTTCCTCACATAGTGGTCAGAAAAAGACAAACACAAATGTAAAACAACCACATCTTTTAATAGAAAGCAACAAACATGCAAATAGCAGGTATAGAAATTTATTTGAACCAATGTTTTCACTATAAGGTAAGTTATTTTAAAACACTGATCCAAGCTCCCATGTTTGCAAGTTAAGGGAAAATATTGCACTTCGCATTTTCTAGCACCCCTCATACACTGCAAAACATTTTAAAAATATTTTGCTTATTTTACTTGCACACTTTTGCAAGTCATGCACACATTCATTCAAAATCAAAACGTTAGGTTACTCAAAAGCAAAACCTTAAAATTGCACTAAAGCTTTGTAAGGAAAAATATAATTCATGACTTATACAAATTTCATGACGTCTAGGTGCTTTCAGAGAAGAGCCAATTACTCTTCATCTTCGTTTTCATTCTCTTGGCCAGATCCTTCAGACCTGTCTCCTTCCAGCCGGTCTGTAAAATATGGGAGTAATTGTTAAATGACTGAAGCAATTTGAAAGCCATTTTTCCAATTCAGAAAACAAAATGACATTTTGTTCAACTACTGTCCAGTGTCTAGTGATGAATGAAGTAGAAATGCTTAAGGTATACTGAACATATATACTCCCTTTTACAAATATGATGGAAACACAGTAGGAAAAAAAATATGAATAGCTGCTAAAAATTCTGATTCAGATAATTTTCCACTTGTGACCAAGTGAAGATGCCCAGGCATCAGGATGGTGCCTGATGTCTCCACCACCTGGGGATGCCTAGGGATCCTTGGATCTTGCCTGTTTTCACACATCCTTAGAACACATCCTTTAAAAGTCTATCCATGATATTTTATCTGCACAATCAGAACGAATTTCAGGAACCAAAAAGTTGTATTGAAAAATACAACTTTTGAGCTGTCTGGCCCCAAAATGGCAACTAGTTGAAATGAAACACCTCACACAAGAAATCTAGTCAAAAGTGATTTCTGGTCTGTGACCGTAATAAATCAATTCATTCAGTAAAAAGTATCTGTAGAATCTTCCTACCTGCTCTTATATGGTTCAAAGATGCCAACATCCTTAGCATAAAAGAAGCTGGAACAGTGATTGTGTTTCTGGTTTCTTCCAGCATTAATTCATTTCGAGTTATAACCTGGGGTAGGGGTAGAGAGGAAGTGAAGTAGTTACTGAGCAAGAATTTAACAGAGCAGATTTAGAAAATAAGGCTTGTTGTATATATTTATGTGCCACTATTATATGAGCATCTGACATAAACACTGTATCAGTATTTACCAAAGACTTCTCTTTACCCAATACATATTTCACAGGTGCACACAACTCTTTACCAATTTGAGGCTATTCACGATCAGTTCACTTCTGTAACAGAATTTACTACGTTTCGATCCATGCTGCATGTACCATAGAATCTAGTTCCATGTTCCAAAAACAATGACACATCTCCCACTGTGAACTGGTCTTTTTATGGCAATACATCTATGAAATTATTGTTTTCTTCTAAGTTACAAATTGGTATTAGTGGTGCACAGAAAGTATTAACAAGCAACATCAATATTGTCAGGAAAGAAAATTATAGAAATAGGAGTTTTGCTGCAGAATATCATCTTACCTCGTCAGCAAGTTTCCGATTAAAAATTTTGGATTCTTCTAGTGGAGACCAGATTTTTATATCATAATCAATACCTGATGAGGCTAGAACTAAAACAATTTAATAATATATTAAGTAGCCATTATTTTACATTTGCAAATACAAACAATATTTGGTAGTTAGCACACTTTGTTGCAACCCCCCCGCCCCGCCCCTATTTCTTAGAAGGGTTTCACTTTTAAATTCACTCTTATGTTCCACTTAGAACTTCTATTCCTAGGGAGCATTCACATGTGCATTAATTTGCAACATGTAGGCAATGATCTGAAGCAGACTATGAGGATAACTTTAAGACAAGATCTCTCATTAGTATCCACTTCACAAATTAGCTAAGGTCCTTCAGACTGCAAACTTAAAAATAACCTATCATTTTGGTAGAACATGGATGAAGCCAAGTGTTTTCAAGGGCTTCCCTACAAGCTATGAATATGCCTGTAAATTATAGAGAGAAAAACAATCTTACTTGGGTCAAATGGATGTGGCTGCAGACAGTTCACCACGTGGTTATCTGCTTCCAGCAGCATCAAGTGCTCAGCAGTATGCCGATCCCAGATGAAAATATGGCCACAATCTGAACCACTCATAACAAAGTTAGAACCCCAAAAATTGGCTTCTTTAATCTATATAGAAAATAAATTGGGGGAACAAAACATTTCATTATGGTTAGTATGCACAGCTGGGAGACATTCTAATTCACTTTCAAAGCTGTATACAGGCTGTATTCATACACAACACTAAACTATGATTCAGTGTCATATGAGCATGCCTCAGACTTCACAACTCCTTTCCATCCCCTGACATGGCTATACGCAATTGCTTCCATCTTTAACAAACAGCAATTTAGCATTAAGTTTGAATACAGGCAAGCTGAAATAAGCCAACTTCAAACTGTGGTTTGAATTATCCATAACCTTAGCAAGGGCAGAACTGTGCCCACCTCTTTTAAATAAACTATTTTTTAAAAAAAATCTTTGTTTCAAATGATACTATCCGTTTAAAAAGTGCCCCAATGACCTACATAGTACCTATAGCTAATATACATACTATATGCAATATATATACCTATACAATGTTTAAAGCATCCACACAATCTATTTAGAAGAGACCCTAAGCAACACTAAATGGAAAGGATTGTTGGTTTATCTGGAAACATATTTCTATGTGATGTTATAGTGGACTAAGTTAAGATTGTTTCCCCAAACACTCAAAGGCAGGAATACAGTTGCCTCAAAGAAAGTCTTTTGTCTCTGTTACCCTGAAGTGACCAGTTACATTCTTGCCAAGCTAAAGAGTACAGAGACATAGAAACAAAGTACAGTGGTACCTCTGGATGCGAACGGGATCCGTTCCAGAGTCGCGTTTCGCCACTTCCGCGCATGCGTGTGACATCATTTTGAGCTTCTGCGCATGTGCGAGCGGCAAAACCTGGAAGTAACGTGTTCGCCATGGAGCGCAACTCGAAAATGCTTAACCTGAAGCGTATTCATCCCGAGGTATGACTGTACAGTGGTACCTCGGGTTACAAACACCTTGGGTTACAAACTCCACTGACCCAGAAGTAGTACCTCGGGTTGAGAACTTTGCCCAAGAATGAGAACGGAAATCGCGCGCCGGTGGTACGACGGCAGCGGGAGGCCCCGTTAGCAAAAGCACGCTTCAAGTTAAGAACGGTTATGGGTTAAGAATGGTCCTCCGGAACAAATTAAGTTCGCAACCCGAGGTACCACTGTACAAAACACCAACATAACAACAACTTCTCCAACATCTCTAAATGTGGCAGGGCGCCAACCTGACATAAATGCATGAGATTGCTGCCACTGACCTCAGGACTGGAACCTGGATCTGTTCCAGGCAGCAGGGGAAGACTGAAAATCCCTACCTTTTTCATTAGACCTTGGGGAACAAAAATAGTGGCAGTGGTGGTAATTGGGTAAACATAGCCTTCAAAGGCATGGCCTTTTACTTCTCTTTGAACTCCACCAACACACCTTTTAAAGCTTCATGACTAAATAGCTTTCCACCTAACAAAAGTTTCAGAAGAAAGGTTAATAAGGGCTGCTGAATCAGCTTCCCTTTTATTTTTTGCTAGATCATTAAAGAATCACTGCTGATTTTTATCCACAGCTGCACAGGGGCTGACTGCTGAGGAGCAGTACTGAAGACTGATCGCATTGATTGTAGTGGTGAGGGCTCGAGCCCTACAAACTCATTCCCAGACTTGAATCACAGTTGACAATGTTGATTCTCCAGGTAGTGGAGGAAATGCCATGCTCCTTCTGGAGTAGTCACCTTTGGTCCCCACCCTGCACTCAGCTCTCATCTGTGGCTCCAAGAAGCTGTTAGCATGCAACAGCAGTCACACCTTGGGAACGGCTTCGAGTGGTCACCTGAGGGTACCCTAGAAGAGGATAGCCAATAGGTCTTGCACCCTCAGTGAATTAGGGACCTCCCCTGCATGCAAAGACAGGCTCCAACTGATTGAGCAGATGAGACCAATAGTGGGTCTAATGGTAAAGAAGGCAGTTTCTGCATGTGCTGTAGAGGGAAGTGAGGGGAAGATGGGGCCTGTCAATCTGGGAAGGTAGGCCATCAAGGAGAAGGAAAACTCTGATCCTAAACCTCTGCTGCCTTGTGAGATATCTTTGGGAGAAGAAAAGGCTAAGGAGAAAACCCTCCACAAATCCGGAGTGGTGTCCCTAAGACGGTTGGATGGCACCTTGTATGCCTCCTTCCAGCAACTCCTGAAGCCAAGTCTGTGCCAAATGTATTGCTTTCCTCTGCTTTCCTTTGGACACCAGTGAGGCCAAGTGGGGGGGTCCTGTTGTCTGAGCAGCCCAGGACACTGCCCAGCCTAACACAACAGTTTGACATCACTGTTGGAGGCACACTCCATTGTTTCTCAAGACAGACAGATGCCAACAACAAGGTGCCTTCCTCCTCTGACAGATCCTTCCTAGCTCTCCTAATCCATGAAAGAAGTTGGAGGGTTACTGGGCGCCCTCTGGTGGCTCACACTGCCAATAATGTCACATTTGTTACTTGGCCCTCCTCAAGAATGATGGTCATTACTGAGAAAATTACAATTCAGGGGAAACAAATAAATTGCAGTGAAAATCATCACAAAATCAATTGCAAGGAAACACCCGTGAGGAACACAGGGAAATGAAGCTTCACACACTCAAACAGTCCAGGGCACCAAGGGAACAGACGAGTCCCAGACGCTATAAACACACAGCAATACAACACAGATTCAAAATACAAGCCTGAGATATGAAGAAGCAAAAAGGAGAGAGAAAATATTTCTTAGGCAACTGCCCCCAACAGGGGCAAAAATGTAACTTGCTACTTCAGGAGAACAGAGGCAAAATAGTTTGTCTGAGGTTTTTTCGAGGCGATTTTGTTCCTGCCTTCGAGTGGATGAAGAAGCCAAACCCATGCAAGTCCATTATAACACCAGGGGAGAGTGTTACTTTTATTTTAAATTCAAAGTTATTTCATAATGTTGACCAGGCATACAGTGCTCTGGACTAAGACTTTGCAAAGTTACTTGAGTAACCATAACTGTATTATGATGTGCATATATCTTAATTTTTCTTATAAGCTCTCTTCTAATATAGGTTAGTATAACACATATTTAGAGAAAACCAAATTATAAATTTAGCAATAAACTATGTACCATTGTCCGGGAGTTTCGATGACCTTTGTAAACCATTTTTATTAAAGGGCGTCTAATATTCAGTGTTTCCAATTCCTCCATCTCTTTTCTCTCTTTCCTTCTTCTGAAGAGCTCCTGAATGCGAGCTACAGCAGATCGTCTATGGATTAGGAACAGAAAGGCCATCATTGTCAGAAAGCTACATAATAACCTGGTTTGCAGTCCTGTTCAGAATTTGGTTGTTTTAGATCCCAATAACCTCAATGGGATTTAAACAGGCTAATTGTGCCTAGAGGGTTAGACCACTAGCCCATATAAAACAACCTTTGCCTTTTGATACATTATTAAACATTTGCTTTTACTCTCAAACAACAAAAAGAGGGAGGACAGCAGAGCTTGAGCATGCAAATACAGCCTGTGCAAGTTTTCTTTTGAGTATTATACTCAGTGCCAATAATGAAATTGAGGATTTTATAAGCACCACCAGCAGGTTGTCCATTGACAGCATTTGAAGCAGAAGCTGTCAATTAGCCAACGGATGCATTCAAGCAATATAATCATTTTAACATAAGAACACAAAAATAGCCTGCTGGATCAGGCCAATGCCCATCTAGTTAAGCATTCTGTACTCACACTGGCCAACCAGATGCCTATGGGAAACCAGCAAGCAGAACGTGAGCACAAGAACAGTGTTCCCCTCCCATGGTTTACAGTAACTAGGTATTATGTTAATCAACAAATCACGTAAGCTGTGACACACGAAAAATACGTGTTTAACAAAAGAGAACTACCTGGGCTTTAGTTCTACTGTATATTTTTAAACTACATTCATCTTTAATGAACACACTAATGAGGTTAATAAACTTGTTAAACCTTTCACACAGCAATTACCTTTATAAAACCAAAATTACTCTCCACTGTCACCCTCTCTATATGAAGTCCAATAGATTTAAAACTTGTATAGTAACCAGTACAAAAGGTGGTTAGATATTGCACCAATGAAGGAAGTAATCATAATTCTACATGGGATGGTAATTCTGAATTACCTCAATAGTCTACCACCTACTGCTGTTCCTCTTATATATCTAGTGAAAGGAATAACAGCTGAAGTCATTGAATTAAAAATAATGTATATAATATTGTTAAGAAACTGTACAGTGCTCCAGGTCCAATTTAACCATCCCCATTCATTCATGAAGCACGCTAAGTGACCTCGGGCAGTTACACAAACTCAGCCCAGCCTCACAAGGTTGTTGTGAAGAAAATATGGTGAAGACACCATAAGCACTGTGTCAAGCTCCTCAGAGAAAAAGCAAACAATTCTATATCAATTTTCTACTAGTCACTAAAAACAAATACAACCAGAATGTTTTCCAAGTCTCTGGAAGACAATCAAGCTCTGTTAAGTACAAGGAAAGAGAATTATATGTGCATGATAAAGTGACTAAGTGAACCTCTTTATATATGCCTGTTATGCAGACATGGGACCATGCACTCCTGCAGCACAATCATATATATGTGTACTGAGAAGTAAGTCCTGCTGAGTCCACTGAAATTTAACCCCAGGTAAATGTGTATAGGATAGTTGCCTTCAGTATGAGAGTCCAGGTCATTGAAGGATCACACGATATGCTACAATACATAGACAATTATACAAATCCAACTGAAAATATAAAAAGACAACACACTGAGGTAGAATTTTAATATCCAAGTAGAGCAAGTAGAATCTCGTGGTGAAATGAGGGCTAATCCTTCATGCCTAACATGAATACATGTTGACAGCATAACTTTTAAGAGGTCTGAATGATTCTGCTGCATGATTTCCCATTTTTTACTTCAACAGAACTGTCTTTAGGAGGGGAGAGCGCACCACAATACTAACCTATGGCCTACTCCTCCACGAAACCGGGCTCCTGGTATCAGAACAGGGTCATCATCGCTATCATCAGTTTCTTGGAAAGCAGAACTTCTCATAGATGATTCTTCATGAGAAGCAAGCCCTGAGGAATCTGGTTGGGATTGAGGTTCATGATTTGTATTATTTGAGTTGGCAGTGGACTCTGTACTTTGTTGACTCACACTTCCTTGCTCTTCTGTGTCTTTTCTTGATAAACCTTCACCTGGTGTCTGGCAGGTTATGTCAAGATGAGGATCATTTTCTAGTTCCATACTGCTTTCCAGTTGGTCAGACACATCATTATCTGATAGAACAAACAATGACATTTAATCAGTTACCACACTAAAAACATTTTGAATTATCTTTGACAACATTATTAAAACCTAAAGTAGAAAAAATAAATAGCTATAACCTGCCCTAGAGATATAAGTATTTCAGGGGTGCGGGGAGAAGAGAGCTTGAGTTTGCTTACATTTACAGCTTTTGGGTAAAGTATGCATATGTTACCATTTTACATACCTGAATGTGGTGTTCCAACATTTTCACTTGTAGGTGTCAATTCTTCAACATTTGTACTTTCCCCATGTGAGTCTTCAGGAATTCCTGGAATTCAGTATTTAAATTATATAAATAGTGCAAATGGGCTACTAGCAATTTCTGAAATTAGATATTATATACTGTTGTTATTATCATAAGCCTTCTAAAGTAATGTATAGCTTGCATGGAAAGTAATGAAAACTGACAAAAATGATGCACTGAAAAAATATTAAAAATATACAGTAAGTCAGGCACTGCTGCAATGTGTACTGCTGAAAAAATAAACTGTCTTTCTGATTCCATCTATATCTCTAGCTGTAGATTCCACATACTTATGTTAAGCAAAATAGATTAGAATGTTTTGTGAATGAGTATTATTTATGTTCAACTGGAAAAATAAAAGTGACTCAAGAATCACTTACTAATATCTAACATTCACAAGCTTATTACAGATGACTCCATAATCTTTTGCAGCAACCCATTTTACAAGGCTTGTTTATTTTTGAGATTCTTTTATCTTACTAATATTGAATACTTATCATGGATATTAAGAATTTAACAATTCATATAAAATATATATTCATATAAATAGTTTAATATTAGGTTACTTTTATATTTTAAACGATAACTATTGTTTTATGCAGGGCTCTGGATTTACAACAGAATACTAAAGTCAATGTACAAAGAACTGTGAAACTTCTTTCATGAGCCTAATGGTGTGTTTGTGTTGTTTTTCTCAAACAGCAACCCCGAAATGCCACACCGCACACTACTTCTGAAACTGAGCATAGTTTAAGTATCATATTGTGATATGTGGGCTAGCAGAAGCACCCTACAGAGCTCTGTGAATCACAGCATGGATGTTACACTTACCTCCTGTGCTCCAAACTCCCCAAAAATCAGATTGAAAACCTTGTTTTGTTCATATTAGATGTACAAATGTTTAATTTACTTAGATTTTTCATAGCTTTCCTCACCCATAGCCAAAGGAAATCCCAAAGTGATTTACAAAAGGATAAAAATACAAGCAATAACAATATATCCATAAAAATAGTACAAATAAACCAAGAGTGTAATGATTTGAAATAAAGTAAGCACAGGCATACAATGATATAAAGGTGGCTATTTAATCTTTCTCTTTTTCCAGATTTTTCTAAGGAGGTGATTAAGGCATGCTCTAAATCTGCTAAAGTGAAAGCCCTTGCTAGGGCAAAAAGCTTGAAACACTATATTCAATTCCCGGCAAAGTTCACACTGAATAATCAGGTCAAACCCATAAATTTGACCAGTCAGATTTTGTAAAACAAATTAAGACTGAGACTAAACAATTCTTTGACTTAAATGCCAAGACTTTGACTGCTAGGATGTATGAATGAGAAGCAAACAAAGCTTGTATTAGAGGCTGAATTATAGCATATGCATCACATAAAAAAAACCCTTTGAAATAGTAAAGGAACAAAATTGAAAGAGGAATTAAAAGATTTGTGGCCATTAATAGTTAATAACTCAACTGATAATCTGTGTAGTAAAATAAGAAAGAAGAAATTTGAGCTATGTAATACATTATCAAAACAAGTAGATATAATGCTTATGTATATGGGACAAAAGTATTGGGAAACTGGTGAAAGGGGGGTATGATTCTGGCAAATTGACTTAAGCAAAAGAAAGAAAGGTTAATAATCTCACAAATTAAAGGTGAATTAGATGACGTGTATATAGCTCCAACAGAAAGAGGTATATTGGAAGAGGTGATGGAGAAGTTTTCTTTAAAAAATTAAATTACCTGGTTCAGAATCTATGCAAAAACAATTATTAAGGTCCTTAATATCAGAAACTGAGATTATGTTTGAGAATAATTTCAAACATGGAAAACAGTAAAGCACCAGGCCTAGACAGATTCCTGGTGGAATGGTACAAAACATACATTGATCTCTAGGCACCTAGGTTATATCAATTATATGAGGAGATATTCAGAGAAGGAATTAGCTCAACATTATTGAGCTAATCAGGCATACATTACTGTTATTCCAAAGCGCCAACCAATGCCCAATTTCTCTGATTAATATTGATACAAACATTTTAATGGCAATGTTGGCAAGTAGGCTGCAAACAGCAATACCAACTATTATTAAAAATGACCAAATAGGCTCTATAAAGAGAAGACAAGCCACAGATAATATCAGGCTGGTTGTGGATTTGATAAACTTAAACAGGAACAAGAATGATATAGCTATATCATCTCTTGACAAATTGATAGAAGATATGTACAAACTTGCAGCACATGAACAAATCGCATATAAACGTTGACTTGCCATGGACAAATTTAACAATATTTGGAATTCATTTCTATAAACACTGCATTAGGTTAAATGTAGGTTAACTACAATAACAATCTTGTAATGTTTATAAGTTATTTTTTAGTTTTTGGTTTTTTGTGTATAGGTGTTATTCGCGTGCACCCCTTTCCATTTTCTCCCCCCGCTTTTTCAAGTGTTATTTTATCCTGTGCACTTACAATTATATACACATTACTTTTTATCTTTCAAAAAAGTGTATGTATATGTGTGTATATATGGTGGCTATATCATTGCTAAAAAGGCAACAAATTCACATCTTACTTGATTCTGAACTCTCTAATATTGGTGTCTCTGAACTCTGAGTTCTCATGGATTCTTCCTGACCTTCAGGTTTGCTGTAATTTCCACTCCCTCTGGAACTTGAAGCTGTACTGCTCCTAGCAACAACAACATTCAACAGACGCATGTATTTATTTTAGATATTTATATCCTGCCCTTCAAATATATTCTCAGAATAAAAACCATTTACTAGTATTATTGAAGTATGAGCTAGTTAAATAATATTATGAAGTAGGCAAAAAATATATCGCTATGGAGCTATGGGAAATACTCTGTAATAAGCACCATAAAATTTTGCTAAAGACAGCAATCAGAAAGAACTGTTATATGGTAACGACAAGATGGTATATTAATCATGTTATAATAATAGTAATGGTAAGAAGAACTACCCCCAAAAATATTGACAGCGTGAAAAGGAAGCAAACTTCTGCTGGGAATGTTGCAGAGAAAAATTTACTGGAGAATTATTAAGAGGATTACAGAAAGCATACTACAATATGCAATCCCTCTAGATCCTCTTTATTACCTTTAAAATTATATGGATGTGTTTATTTCTAAAGGACGTTAAAAACTAGCATCTTGAATGGCTATGGGTGTTAGAGTATTATATGGGAGGGGGGAACTGGAGATTGTATACAATATGCTTCATGAAGGAATGACAATAAAATGTGGACATGGAAAAACTAACACCTATCAGAATGAAACGAAAAGCAAAGATAAGAAAACATTAATTGAGATAGTTTGTGCTTTACATTGAGTATTGTAGAAGCAGTACAATATATCTAAATATACAATATTGATTTTCATCAATTTAGTTTGATATTTTATATACCATTAATTATAATATAGGAAATCTAAATATGTATGTAATCTATGTTGCTTTAAGATGTCTTCCCCATACATATACATATACATATACATATACACACACACACACACAAACACACACACTCTTTCAGTTCTCATTTGGAAAAAGCTGCTTGTAATTTTCATTGTAGTTCAGAAATAACAAGAGTTCGTGTATACATACTAGTATTGAAGCAATTATAAATATTTATAACCAAAATAGTGTTTGTTTTTGCTCTGTAACAAAATATTGTATTGATTATTGCTGTGTGGGTCATGACCATTATACTATCTGGTGCATAATGCTTTCTTCTTCATATACTAGAATATAAAATCTGGGTTACCAGTTGGGTAACTGTAATACTTGGGGCTGCCCTTGAAGATTACCTGGAAGCTGCAGCTACTATAGATTGCTGCTTGCTAGGCTGTTGAGTGGAATAGTTCACTGGAGCCATGTAACTGTCCTGACTTGACAGTACCACTCTCTCAATGTCTTCCTGCACAGGCATTAAGCCATTCCAGGGATGCCCTGCTCAGCACCTCACGTTCGAAAATTATGCAATGACACAGGAGAGCACCTTCTCCGCAGTGGTTCTCTGACTATGGAATTCCCTCCCTCTGAGGTCCATGTGGTGACAAATTAAGATCAATTTCACCACCAGGTTAACACTTTGCTATTTTTCAGGCATCTTTGAATTCTCAACTCTGCTCTGTTATAATAATAGAATAAGCTGCTCTCTGTGTTTTAATATTGTTTTTTATTGTTTCACCTGCTTTTGTTTTATTACTGCAATTATCGTACCCCACTCTGCTAAATTTGATATTCAATTCATATAGTAAGACTGAAAAGTGTTTTATTTGTAATCCCAGGGGCGGAAATGATCTCCAGTACGATTTACTATCCCAGTAAACGTAATGAAATAATGCCTGAAAGACTTTTCAAAATGATTTTAAAATACTGAAAGCACCATGTAAAGCTTGGGTGTATGAAATAAATGTATTTTTCATACAATTCCTAAACCTTGCATCTAGCCTAACACAATATTTCTCTGGTCTAACTCAGCACTTTTTCCTAATGAAGTTATTCTGGCAGTGTAGCATATGAAAGCTATTAAAAAGTTCAAGTGTGAGATCTAATGTTAACCATATTCAGAGTAAACCAAATACAACTTAAATCCATTGGGCAGTATCCAGTGTTGTGCAAGCAGACTTCACATCACCTTCCTTCCCTCCCCACATAGCCCCCTATACTCTCCCATCTTCTCTAGAAGGTCCCCCACCATTCCAGAACAGATTTGTGCAGTGAAGACCAGGAAGGCAAAGTCCCACCACAAGTGGAAGTCTGTTCTGCTTGCACATGGACAGTATTGAATACAGCCCATTGATTTCAATGGCCCATTGATCACCCCAAAATGCTACAACTGAAGTCATAGCTAAAATTGGGAAAAGTAGTGCAATCTTACCATTCATCAGTGAAGTCTAATTTTATTGTGCTTGTAGTTGTTCCTTCTGTACTATAATGTAAACTTAAAACAGGTTCACTTGTTCCAGGATGTGGACTTGCCTTTTCATCATCTGAAAACAAAGTGTTAGTAAGTGTGAACATACCACATATGTAAAGATATCATAATTCTGAGGGCAATTCTGTTTATTTTAGTAATAGCTTCATTAAAAGTAGAGCTTCGGAGCTTGTTCAAAGTTAAACGCTTACGTATTAAGTATGATCACCTTGTAACTCTTGGGGAAAGGTCCAAACACAACAGCAATAAGGGGAAGTGGAAAACAAAGATTTAGAAATGCATGTAACATTTCTGCTGAATCAAAGATATGCCATCTACACAGAGCCTTATCTATCGTAAATGACTAATGTCTAAATATTACAAATCAGTAATGTTTCCAGTAAATGTGTTTAACCATTTTGAACCGGAATCCTGAACAAGAACTGCAAATTAGCTGAATATCCAAAGAAGGAAAGACTTTTTTTTTAGTTGCTCCATGGGGTGGTACTAGGTACAATGGATAATTAAAAATTCTTCTTTGAAAGTTGGGTTTGGTACGTTTCTGGAAATAGTTTCTATTAAAGTATAGAAAATATTAAAGTATAGAAAATATGAATGTTTTCTGGAAGACAGCTGCAGCAAACAAAACATTTTTTTTAAAGGACCAGGTATGTGAAGGACATGTGACTGCCTTTTCATTAAAACTGTCATTGGAGGCCCTGCTCTACATGCTAATCATGTGGCAATTGTGGAAATTATCTTTTCATACGTAGTGCCCCTATTGTGAAATACTCTCCCCAGGAGGCTCATCTGGTTCTTTTACTTTCATGTCTTTCTGACATTTTTATTTTTTCAAATCTTTTAAAATAGCTTCCTATGATGTTGCTGTTTTCACTGTTACTGCTGCTTCATTGGATTTTAGAAATGTTAAATTAGTTTTAATATATTTGTACTTGCCACCTAGGATATATTAATTAGTTTGAACTGAAGATGCAGGATATAAATTATATAAAACAAAGAGATCTTGTGCTACCTATTATATGTGTTTTTATTATATTATATATAATGTTTTTGCCTGGTGCCTAAAGTTAAGTAACAAAAACATTCCTCTTCCCCCAGACCCTAATTACAAATCTATGGGGTTATTGTTTTTGTTTGTTACTATGTTACATATTTTTGTGTTTTTATATTGTAAACCACCCTGTGATCCTCAAATAAAGAGAGGTATAGAAATCCAATAAATACTAATTATAATTATTACTATAAAACATTTTAGGCAAACTAGAGAGGAATTGATGAAAATGAGGCAAGGAAGGAAGGGATTTCCAAATAGGAAGGGAAATCAAGATGGAAATGGAGATGGGATAGGACTCTGGAACATCACGTTTTCTCTCCTGTGAACTCTGGCTGGGAAAAAACCCTTCAATAATACACTTCTAGTTTGGCCCTGAGTGCTTTGGTAACCTTGCCTTCTACTGCTCTTTAATTAGAAATTGTTGCTGCTGTGCATATCAGTCTCCACCCTGTATTTCTGCACCTTGCTGCCTGCCTGAACAACCTGCCTGTGCCTTTGTCTCTCTATGAAGTCTTAAAACATTAGATTTCAGCACAATGTTCCCACTCTTTTAATTGCTTAATTTTGCTGGTTCTTATAACTAGAAAACACAACAAAGGTTTTCCTATAACTGCGTCATTCAGCTTTGTGTAATTTTGAATAACCAAACAAGCATTTTTTTAAACAAGAGTTTGGTAACACTACCGAAGGCATCACTATTCTGTAGTAAATTCAATGGAACTTAATCTCATGTAAGTGTGTAAACTTAAAACATTCTTAACAACCTTTACATGAATAATAGCAAAAGCATAGACTCTGTTTTCATTTTCTTATTAGTAGATTGTTAGTAACTGTGTGTTTGTTACCTTTCAGTTTTCCCTGAGGAAAAACCAATTTTTAAAGCTCAACCTATTTAAAACCTATTTTCAATAAGTAGTTTTCTTCTCTGGTGCAAGATAAGCAAAAATGATGAAAAGGCCAAAAAAAGGGGGGTTGCATAGGAGCAAACTATGTAGGGTGGAAGATGGTTGACTACAGATGCCTGAACTTATATAGTACATAATATTACAAACAAGACACCAGAAGCAATCACAACCAACTCCTGATATATATAAAACATAGCTGAGTGTTTTAGTGATCACATACAAACACACACACACACACACACACACACACACACACAGTAACTATCACTGGACAACACAATCCAATCTATAATTTTAGGAAGTACAGCTCTGCAAAGAAAGGAAGCCTCTTCTGTCTTAGTAAAGCTCCTGACATGATGCCAGTAGAAGACTTGAGGTTGCCACACAGAACCCACTCTTGTTGGTATCATTGCTCCAAGGCAATTCTCTAAGCTGAGCTTTATCTTCTGCACCAATACAGTTGTACCTTGGTTTTCGAACAGCTTAGTTCTTGAATGTTTTGGCTCCCGATCGTCGCAAATCTGGAAGTGACTGTTCCGGTTTGCGAACTATTTTTGGAAGCCGAACGTCCTATGGGGCTTCCAATTGGCTGCAGAAGCTTCCTGCAGCCAATCAGAAGCCGTGCTTTGGTTTCCGAACATTTTGGAAGTCGAACGGACTTCCGGGATGGATTCTATTCGACTTCCAAAGTACGACTGTACATTGTTTGTAATGTAATTGCAAGTAGTTCTGCAATGGTAGCTCTAGTCCACTGGTTGTGATTTGCACCAGAAGCTTTGTCTCTCTTTTTGCAAAACCATGTCCTATAAGACCAAAAGTACTGAGCACAGGTGCCAACTCCCTGGGGCCCTGGGTGCCCGAGCACCCACAAAATTCCCCATGAAGGGGCCAGGCACTCACAAATTTCCGTGCCAGGGCCATGCATGCTGCATGGCATCCACAGCCCCGGGCACCAATGGTCATGGTGCCAAGTTGGCACTCCTGGTACCAAGTACATGTAAGTAATAGTGAGTATATACCATTCACAGAATTGCAATGCAGTGTAACATAAGTTGCATTGCTACCTTATCAATCTGCAAGTCAGCAAAACCTGCATAGTTGCAACCTGCACTAATCAGCTCCCAAATCTATAGAGAGAAAACTGATGACTGTACTTCCATTTCCAAAATCATAGGATCCAAGTATGGATCAAACATATCCAAAATGTATCTATATTTCTTCTACAATAGGACATTGCACAAGTAATCCAGTCTCAGGTAGACCGGTGATTTGAGAGAGAAAATGTGATTTACAATCAGTTTTAGTTAAATATATTAAATTCACCTCAACTACAAACCTGTATTAGTGAGGGAGTGGTAAAGTTAAGATCACACATACAAAGAACTGAGAACAAATTATTCAAAATAATTCCAATGTAAGGCAATAAAGCAGCAATCCTGTATGAACTTTCAGGGAAGCCAATCCCCCAGAATTCAATGTGTCTTACTTCTGAGTACATACACTTGAAATCATATCACCTAACTACTTGCATATATTCCTGGTGTGTAGGTATAAGGCTCAGTGGGGTGTGCAGCAAGCTTTAAGATCACAAATGTTTCACCATCAAGTCTAAATGTGTTAAAATCTTTGAGCTACATAAAAATCTACACATGTTGCATAAAAATCTACATAATCTGCCCATAGCCATTTTGTAGCACACAGTTGCATGAAGTGGGTCTACTTATATTACAATTTCAAGCATTTAGCCTTTTAAACTTCAGCTTCTACATGTGGTATAAGACAGGAAGAGCCAAAACTTGCTTCTACACATATAAAATCTACATGCAGAGGCAGTGTATGAACCAGATCTCTCTGTTTTTGATGTGAACGTTTATAAAGATCAAGTGGAGTTTTACTTCTCAAGTTCATTACAAAACAATTGTGCCTCATGATCCCTTAATATGTCTATTTAAAATGTTTACCACCAGCTACTAAAAAAAGTACAAATAATGAGGAACAGAACTGAGAAACTTCCCTTTGCCATGCATCAGCATTTTAACACAATAGAAACAGTTTACCAATTAGCAAGTACTGTGGCAATGCAGTTTGACTGGGGGAAGGATAACTTTGATCAGGAATATGGTTGATGCCCCTCAAAATGGAAGTCACCCTGTTCTACAATAATGTCATCTATCCTAAACTGAGGTATGTGTCACAGCCAAGGGTAACAGGAAGCCAAGATGCATCATTCCCACAAATAAATATGGCAAAATTATTTTCAGCTAAGGTCATTTTAGCACCCAAAGCAAAATTCAAAAAGGCCCAAACAAGAGTCTATAGAAATCAAAATAACTTCATCTGAAAAGAGGCCTCTTTCTCCTAGTTGATGTGAAAGAGCTGCTTAAAATGCCACTTCATTTCAGGTTTGTGAGGAGGGCAAAGCATGGGATTTGAAACCAAAGTTAAACATTGGTGAGTGCTAGGGTTAGTTTTCTTTCAGTGCATCAGGCTGGAATAGGAAGCCCTTAACTCTACAACTTTGCATAGTGAAGCAGTCGATCTTATGGATCAGATATTATTCAAACAGGAACTATACTTAACAAAAATGTTACAGAAGTAAGGAGATATTCAGCCAAGTATTAGTTACTTTGGAGCACTGTGATGAATGAACACCACCAAATGCCAAGAACACGCAAGAAGCAACTGCATTCACTCTCTTGTTCTTGAGGGGAAGCATCTCAGCAAACAATAGCAGCACAAACTATGTAACTACACCAGCTGCTTAATAAACCTTGACAAATGACAACCTGTAGGCTGAGGGTCCTGTGGGGATCCCTTAGGGGAAGACTGATCAGAGCTGGAGGACTGTTGTGCTGAACCCTCAGCTAGCTCTCGCTGTCTCTGCTGTTCAGCCTTCTTAAGCCTCAGCCGCTGCAGGCCCCTACGGAGTATAGCTAACTCAGGCGCCATTAATTCTGACAGACAGGAAAAAAAGGGTGTAAAAAGAAACAGGCATAGAACATAGGATAAAAAGAACATAAAGACTAAAGAGCGAGGTAATAGATATTGAGTAGAGAAATAAAAGCAGCAAACGTTTTGTTTAAAAGCAAACTACTAATATTCAGAAGGAAAATAAAATGTGTTTTATTGGTTATTTCCTTTCTAAATTATAGGAATTATGAAGCTCATTATTCATGCTTCATTGTCTCCAACTATTACCCAATTATTTAGCCATTTAAGTAAAGAATAATGTACCAAAAAAGCATGATGATATGAAACACATACATATGGAGCTTTCCTAGAGTATCCTTTGTGCAATAGATGACATTTTCTCTTAAAAGTTTTCTTTTGCATTATACATCATGGTATTAGGAAGAAGAGAGAACTGAAGCGTGACTAGCACAGTTCTTAAAAAGTGACTCTTCCCACCAGATTCTGTTTTTAAATCCTAATACAAAATTTTCATAAGTAATGCAGCCACATGTTCCCTATTTATGAGTAATTTTTTTGTAGCAAATAGAGAAGGTATATGATAAAACACAGTTGAGACTGGGAAGTAACCTTAAGACCAATACAGTACTGAAATAAGAAACTTATCTCATACTTTTGCATGAGGGAGGTTTTATTTTTTCCCCAATACAGAGAGAGAAGCTTGATGTAGAAAGATTTGTGTATGTTGTAATAAGGGAAAGAGTGACATCATTTTTTTCATAATACAGATACTCAGAATGGACAACCTCTGCATAGATCAGCAGTCCAATCTCCCCTTCTGTTAGTCTACACATTACAATACATTTTTAAAAATTACATGAAGACTATCTCAGCATAGGGGGAAAATAATGTATAAAGTGTTTCAAAGGCAGACAAATATTGGAGAAATTATTGGAAAGCACTTCTGCTCACATAAGCTGGGGCACTCGATTCTGGCAGATTCCCCTCCCTTCAACTAATGCATGCCTCTGAGACATACACCATTCTGTTCAGGAGGATCCCTCAGCACTTAGAAGGGTCCTCCTCACCAAGGGAGCAGTCAGCAAAAATCGGTTGCCCTAACTTATGTAAGCAGAAGTGTTTTCCAATAAGGCAAAGGCACTATTTGATGCAGCCCAATGTTTCGATATGATTCTTTGAGAAGTGAGAAACTTGTGGTTACCAAAGTCTACTAAAAAGCAGCAGCAGCATTTTTGCTGAAAGGGATAACTCTGCTGAAATGGTCAACAGATTAAAAATGGATAAGAACAGGAACTACAAGCACAGGTAGAGAAAAAATAGTGAGTGCCCCTTTAAAATTACTGATTTTAATAATATTTTCATAGGTAGGGAAGATCAGCTGGTGTTTGACTTAATGTAGGCATATAGATATCTTTGCATATTTACTATTAATTAGATCAGTCTGTTTCGTAACCAAGCTTACAGAACTCTAATGGTCTCTGAGTAACAGATCATTTAAGCTGTAATGATAGGAAATTAATTTTAAACTGGTTTTAATACTTAACTTGTTTAGACTATTTAGCCTAAAGAAAAGTTTGGCTGTAACAGCCACAACACAGTAAAATACAATATTACAATTATTGTGATCTAATTGTTTGGATGATTTGATTTTTCATGAGAGAATAAAGCATCTCAAGAAACATGCATGCACACACCCATAATGCATAGCATGGGAAAAGGAAAATCATGAAAGTTCCCCAATGACAGTAATGCATCTGCAAATGGAATAAGCTAAGTAGAAATTGTATTCTCTCTGTTGAGTTACATTACCTGGTTCACATAGCAATTCTGGCAGAGACAGCAGCTTAGCTCACAAGCAACAATAAAACATAGTTCAGCACTACATGAATGAGCCTAAGGAAAACATTTTTGTGCTCCCCTCATACCCCTTCTTGTCTGACAGGAGGACATTGTCAGAGTTTAGTTTTACTTTTAAGGAATCTCTGCTCTGCAATGCATTTGAAACCAGAGGTCCTGCTTTAAACCAAACTCTGGTCAGTTTCAGTGTGGTAAGAATTTATTTCTACACCACTTGTTCATTACCCAGGTAAGGGAACAGCTTTTAAACAAAACATGGAACCAAGTGAATTACAGCAAGCTCCAGCAGATCCAGTTAGGGACCTGGACTTTATTAGATACTATTGCAATAGGACAGAGCTCAACTTAACATGGTTGTTCTAGCCACTTAAGAAGAAGGTCTGCCACAAGGAGAATCGGAACAAGGGTTTTATAAGCACAGCGCACAAAGAGTCATAAACAACAAAACATTCCAGAACAACCTTCTACATACAACAAGAAAGGTTACAGGTCATGAGAGGTAAAACATGCATTGGCTCCATACCGTTAACTTCACCCCCAGTGTCCCTAACTGCTCTGGCCATTTGGGTCTCAAATGTCCTACATTATCACTGTTTCCTTAGCAATCAGGCCTAGACAGGGTTGTTGACATTCCTGTCCCTATCTCTTCCTCGGAACCTTTCAAGGAGATGCCAGATTTCACCCTGGTGCTAATTCAAAACAAATATAACAAAACATTCTTCGTGATCATTTGTGCCATTTTTAGGGTCAGATAGGAAAGGAATGCAGCATAGGAGTAATGGAAGCACACAAAATCAACCGAATACATTCTAGCCAAAGGTTCAATAAAATTAATATTGGAACATTTTAAAAATCAAAATCTACACCCTTGGTCTCTTAATTCTTACATCAATAGTAAGCCAACTTCAAACTATGGGTTATGAAACTGGCTTACTAAACAAACAAGAGTTGATGTCTCTGGTTTGAATATAATGCTATGCAGAGATTTCCTAAAACTAAACTCTTGCAATGATTCATTCTTGTCCATGCAGGATGAAGTAAGTGGAGAGTGTTCAATCCTTTGCTTGCGTTTGTTCAGACTCATCCATGCAGCATTATACTATGGTTCAATGTTACAGGCAAACACAATGTATAGCACAAAGCTACTAACTCCTCTGGAACACAAAAGTTGTATTATTCACTTAGGTCAGTGTTTCCCAAACGTTTTTGGGCAACGGCACACCTGTTTACTGAAAAAAAATCTCGCGGCACACCACCATTAAAGCCCCGCCCCGTGACGTCAGCGCGCAGCGTCACGCCGGGAGGGACGCACAAAAGTGAAAGTTTTTTCCCTCCCCCTTGCTGGGGAACCTCCAAGCTTTGGGGGTGGGAGGAGGCAGCAGAGCGAGGGACTGAGGGACGGCGGCAACTGAGGCGGCGGTGGCTGAGGCAGAGCTGGGAAGGGGGTTTCCAGGGGACACGGCAGCTCCTCGAAAGGCTTCTCTCAGCTGCGCTCAATCCGCCTCGGAGAGGATTTCCCCTCCGGTCCCATGCGTTCGTTTGGGGCATCGCTCCGGCTGCTCCCTCTCCCGCCGCGCAGGAGCGATGCCTCTCTCTGGCTCTCCCTCCGCGCAGGCTGAGGGAGGGAGGGAGGGGCGCGTGTGACCCGTCTCTGCTGGGAGACCAAACCCAGCGAGGCAGAGTCGCGCGGAGGCGCCCAGGCAGCGCTGCCGGCTGCGAGGAGGAGCGCCAGGCAGCAGCAGGAGGCGCGGCCTCTCCTCGCCGCCGCCGCCCCGCCTCTCGCCGCCCGACTCGCCCCCTTGGAAAATTTTTCACTTAGGTGAATAATAGTTACTTTCTCAACAGACAGTAATTTAACTTTGTAAAAGTCTCAACATCTACAAATCTGATAACTATCTTGAGTAACTCCATATTATAGCTGAACAAGCATTATTTTAAAGTCATAAAGGACTACTATGCATGAGCATGCAAAGCAATTTGAGAGAAAAGTAAAAATAAGAGAAAACAATTCTATAATCCATTTGCTATAGTAATTATTTTTTACATATTTATTTATAAACATTTTTCCTCTGAAAGACCTGAAGACATAGGGTGAGGATTCAAAGAACCACAAAACTAGCATTATTATTATTATTATTATTATTATTATTATTATTATATCAAATTTGCATGCTACCCTTCATCTGAAAATCATGGGGCAGTTCATAACATAAAAATATAAAATGAGAACACAAAATACATAATAAAATAAAAACAAACCAATATTTCCCCATATCACAAACACATTTAAAAGGTCATAGAATATTAATCAGCCAAAGATCTGGTTATAGAAAACATTTTCACCTGGTGCCTGAAGATATTAATGAAGGCACCAGGCAAGCCTCCCTGAGAAGAGAATTCCACTAACGGGGAGCAGAAAAGGTCCATTCTCGTGTTGCCACCCTCCAGACCTCTCATGGAGGAGGCACACAGTTGAGCAGTAGCCAGCAACTAGATCGACTTGAAAATGCCAGTGCGACTAAGGATGCAATATATTTGAGGAATGTGGGAACAATAGAGCATGACTCTTAACAGGTCTCCTAACATTCATTAGCCTTTGCCCCAGCTTATTAAATGAAAACTTTTACTTGATCTCTCAGTTTCATTCCTGAAAATTACAGGGCTTCAGGCAGTGGAAGGGTTTCAATATATGAATTTTATGGCATCTTCATACATGACATTTTTTTTCTGCACAGAAATACCCCATGTACAGTAGCTTTCAAACACAATTGTACAGCTTCCTTTATACTGTGCTGCACTGTATATAGGATAGAAAAGCCTACATCATCTTTCTGTCCTGAAAGCGGATTCCAACAAATTGACACAATTTACAGTTAAACCACTCTAAAACATATAATTAAACAATGGAATGACATTGTAAAACAGAATGTAAAGTGTGAAGCAGCCTAACAAAATAAGCATAATTCCACTACTATTCCTCTTGGTACGTCCTCCGAAGCAAAACTTGCAGTTCTGAAGTCCATTTCCCTATAATACTTACTTTAGAAGCCTCATTTCTTTCCCATTCTCTATAACTGTACTTGGTAAAGTTGCAGGTTTTTGTCTGAAAAAAGTGTATTCTGACAACAGCACAGAGAGACTGAGAAAGGAAGCCAAGGCATATGTTGGAAGGAGAAGTTCCCAACAATCCAAATAGCAAAGCTACCAAATTCTGTAATGCCACTCCATTTCTGAAGGGAAATAGGTCTATTGTGAGCTCTTACTTTTTGATAAATGAGAAACTGTATCTCCTACCGCTAAAGGATATGGCCATCGGAGCACAGATAAGTTGGCACACATCTATAGGTAGAAAAGCCCAATTCAAGTATGTATAAGAGATGCAGGAGGCCTGGACAGTGCTTTCTCTTTATATCACAGCAGCAAATGTATCAAACTGCATGAACACAGATGCAGAAGTGGTACAAAATGAAGTGATATTGTAACCAAAATCACTATGATTACGTGTTGTTTAATTTTTGCCTATGGTGTGTTTACCGCAATTAAAGAGATAAAAATTGTTGGAAAGGTTACTTAACATAACTGTGCAAACTGCAGTGATCAAGAACCCAAAGAACAGCACAATTAGCTGCATGTGTCAAAGGAGACTTTATACAGTGGTACCTCCGGTTACGAACTTAATTCATTCCGGAGATCCATTCTTAACCCGAAACCATTCTTAACATGAGGCACACTTTTGCTAATGGGCGCCACCAGCGCGCGACTTCTGCTCGCATCCCAGGTCAAAGTTCGCTACCAAGAGACCTACTTCCAGGTTAGCGGAGCTCGTTACCTGAAGTGTTCGTAAGGAGGACAGTATGTAACCCGAGGTTCAACTGTACTCATGTTTCTTCAACAGTAAACCCAATGCTACAAAGCAAGCAACTTTTGAAAAAGAGGAATCTTTCAAAAGCAGTTTGTGATATGGCAAATCCAAGCTTTTGAGCACATTTTTTGGATCCCACCCAAAGTTTCTAGTCTTGCTAGTTTAAGTTATAAAATGGAGTTACTTCAGCTTTAATACATTACCTGTGCAAAAAAGTCTTATTTCTAGTCAAAGCAACTATAGTCTGAATAATTTAATAATTAAGTCCCAGATGGCAGGGGAAACTGTCAACCAAATAGGATGCAATTCAGGAAAGGTTCCTGTAATATTCAAAAATGTTAAAATGCTGGGGGAGAGCCCTGATGATAGATGACAGAGAACTAGGTATTTTGTTTCATGCCACTTGGGAGGCAGATCACAACAGATAACTGTGTTGTAGCAAGTTACAGCCAAACTCCAACATCACAGAGCTTTGAGTGAAGGGCTATTTAAAATAATAGTAGTCTTTATACACTAAATGATTAGTCAATCCACCTGAGTGTCTTCTTTCTGGAAGCACATATTCCTCGACTACCACATACACAACTTAGTTGATTATTGGTATAATAAATCCACATTCCATAATTCCACACATTCAACAAACCTATATAGATGAGATACTTAAAGTGCCCAAAGATGGAAACTTTAATTCCAACATACCAGACTGATGGAGTGTAGGAGGTGCAGGGGTCTCCAAAGATGGCCTTTGTTCGTTATCAGGAGAGGATAGCAAGGAAGTAGATGGGGGGCTTTCAGTCGAGGAAGATGTTGAGGGAGCTTGAGCTGACACTGTAGATGATGATGATTGCAGCTGTTCAGGACCATCTACTTCCATTGTGGCCTCTGTTTCAGCACTTGCTAAGACATTGCCAGCAGCAGAGACATCTGATCTACTGCTGCCACCTTTAAAGAAAAACAGCAACTTTATTTTTCAAAAGAGGACTCTCATACCATGTCACATTTGAAACAAAGAATATCTTCAGCACAGTACACTTTCAACTCTACATTAAACCAACTGGAAACACTGAGCATACTGCTATTGAACTTACATATATGTAAATGGACAATTGCCAAGAAAATCCAACACAAACCACATTTGACTTCAAAAGAGGAAATTTCCCAAAAATTAGGGGATTGGTAAAAAATAAAGTTGAAAGGGAACATCAGGAGGGTTAAATCACTCAAAGCAGAGAGCAGGAATAATAGGATAGTCTCCCAATGGATGATGTAGAAAGTAGAGTCCTCCCACTTCAGACCTGTACCTTTTAACTTATTTATAAATTACTTCGAATAAGGGGTGAGCAGTGAGATAACAAAGTTTGCTGATGGTACCCAATACTTCAGTGTTTAAAACCAAAAATATTATGATAAACTCCAAAGGATCTCTCCAAATTGAGTGAATGGGCAGTAAAATGGCAAATGGAATTCAATATAAACAAGTGTAAAGTGATACACACTGCATCAAAAAATAAATCTTAATTTCATATACACTCATGGAGTCTGAGCTGGAGTGACTGACCACAAACAAGACCTTGGGGTTGTAGTGGATAGCTTAATTATGATGCTGACCCAGTGTGAAGCTGCTGCTGTAAAAGACAAATCCATGCTAGGGATCATTAGGAAAGGAACTGAAAATAAAACTGCTAATATCAGAATACCATTATACTAATATATGGTATAGGGTTGCCCACCCGCCCGCTCCTACACAACGGGCACCAAGCACACCAGCAGGGCCTGGATGCACATCAAAAAAATAAGATTGCAGACGGTGGGTGCTATTGAAGTGTGCGTGCCAGGAGGATGAAATATATACATACATACAGTATGTATGACACATGCACGCATACATGCATTATATGAGACTGTCTACTCTGCACAAGAGCAGTCAATTTGTAGTAAAAAAAAACCCCAGACATTTTGCCAAATTTCAAAAATCTTCCCTGACAGACATTTTAAACCTGAAAAAGAGGACATGTTTGGGAAAATCCAGATTACAACCCTACATATGACTGTGCTTAGAATATTGTGCTCACTTCTTGTCACTTCATTTCATGAAGAATGTTGTACAGCTGGAAAAAAATATCAAGGGGGTGGAGCAAGTCTCCTGTGAAGAAGGTTGAAATATTTGGAGCTTTTTGGTTTAGAGAAAAGTTTTTTTTCCCTCCGTCATAGCCCTAGAATTAAGATATATCTGATGAAGCTGGAAGACTGAGGAGAAAGGAAATCCAAAGACAATAAGGCTATCAATGGCTACTAGGCTAGACTTCAATAGCTAGGTTCTACCTCCAAAGTCAGAGGCAGTGTGTCTGAATACCAGTTGCTGGGAATCACAAGTTGTGAGAGTGCTGCTTTTGGTCTTTTCATAAGCATCTAGTTGGCTACCTTGAGAACAAGATACTGGACTAAATGGGCCATTGGCCTGATTCAGATGGCTTTGCTCATGTTCCTATGCCAAGTGTGCCATTTTTAAAAATGTTGATTACTATCTTTTATTTCAAAAATCCCCTTGTCATTTCATGCTGAAGGCAGTTAAGAACATTCACCTCTAGACCGAGATCGTCCTCTTCCTCTGTTGCTCTGTGCAACTTCACTTGCTTCTTCAAACCATCTTGACAACATGTCAGACATTCTTTGCATTAATGAAACATTAGGGCTCTGTTCACCTATATATAAAGAGAGGTGTCAATCCTTTTACTGTGAAGTAGCACAGTACATTTTTCCTTCTGCTACTTGAAATTTTGCATATTTACATCTCTGAAAGGTGAAAATATTTCTCAATATGTTTTTTCAACATATTGGTTTTCTCATTCTTCATTGTTCAGAAACTGTTAGACTTTGTAAACAAAATTTTAAAAATGCTTTTAGTGCTTTTTAAAGACACCCAGTCTGTGTGGCTTTGCTGGTTTCATTTTTTCAGCCGTTTGATCATAGCTAATTACTACACTATTACAAAGAAAAAAAGGGGTGAGAAAAAAACCCTTCTCTGCTATAATTGCTTCAGCCAAGAGTTGTAGTGTTTGACTCACTGTCTGCAGGGAAAAGTGATCCCAGCTGAGTAATTTAATGACCTGTACACAAACTTTTAACTGGCAATTCCTCTGTCCTCCTGTTGGTGGCAAGAGAAAACCAAATTCATTTCAGTAGCGAGGAACTAGGACAGGGAAAATCCTACATGTTAAGATCTGGCAGCTTGAGATTTCAATCCATCTACAATTTCCCTCTCCAGATTCAACCAAGCATGAGTAGTCTGTTTGATAAGAGCTGCTATATTCATGTTGTACATGTTATTAAGGGCCAGTGACCTTGCTGACTTGAACTAAGGCTGATAAAAGCAGTAAGAAAAGGCTCGGTTACTGGAAAAACCAGAAAGTTGGAATTTGCTTCAAGTAAAACAAGGTGCCACTATCTGACTAACCAGCTAGGAATACCATTTTTAAAACATAAATCCCAGAAATGAATAACAGAATAATCTGTTATTCACTGATTCAGATTTTGAACTGAAATCAAGCTACAAAAGACAAGATTTTACCATCTCTTTCTCTCTCACTTTCAGGCCTTGCTCTTGGTCCAGTATCTGACCAGTCTCCTCTTAGTCGGAGTCGTTTGACAGGAGGCTGCCGTAACTAGAGAAATAATGACAAGAGGGGCATTTAAGATGTAAACATTTTATTTCTGTAATAAGCTGAAAAGGTAAAAATATTAAACCAAAGCTGAAATTCTCGTTTTTTGTGCACGCGTGGGTTGCAATTTGGCGCTTCTGCGCATGCGCGACCGCTGAAACCCGGAAGTAACCCATTCCAGTACTTCCATGTTTCAGCGGTCCGCAACCCAAAAAGACACATCCTGAAGCGGCTGTAACCCGAGGTATGACTGTAAGTCTCTTTAGGTACAGAAGATAATCAAAAGAAGATGACTAAGGTAGTATGGCAACAGTGAACCCATATTTTAATGTTCCAAAATATTCAGATATTTTTAATACAAATTGTATATATCTGGGGAAGCTATAAAACTGTAGAACTGTGGAACTATGTCCTGAACATGCAAATCTTATGCTCAAGGTACATATCACATTATAGCATATTTTGCATCTTTCCTTATCCTCAGAGGTAGAGCAGAAGTTTGAACATGAAACACATGTGTACCAGATCTCAATAATAAATCAAAAGCAGCAGAAGGACCAACATAATTTAGTTCTTTCTTTTTTTAAGGGCTGGGAGACAAAAACAATATTTGCCTGGCACCAAAAGAAGACCACAATGATGCCCATGTCACAGCTGACAGCCAGGGACTCTAGCAGCAGGGACACTCAGAGGAGAGTATCAGAAGTGACTGCAGCACATGAGCAGACCAGACATTTTAGACACCTGGATAGAACCCACTGGGTCCTAGTCTAAATTTAAATAGTAGTTGAAACAAGAGATCAGTTAACATAGCTTTCAGCAGCTACACCTGCAACACTGCTGGAATTTTCAGTCCAGATTCAGCCAGGTGGAACATTTGGATATTCAGGTGATCAGGTAAGCATATGATAGTTACACTGAAGTGGAGCTAAGAAATGGGTGATTTTCACTTGGTCATACATAATAAAGATATTGGCAGTGTTCATGTATCATGCTAACAACCAACATGGTGCCCTCCTGATATTGCTAGCTACCATCATCCTTGACCACTAGCTGTGCTGGCTGAGACTGATGGGAGTTGAAGAGCACATTGGATACCCATCTGTTAAGTCACAGTTTAGCATGATGTGAATGAGCTGCAGTGAGCCTCTAGCTCCCTTCCTCCCCATTCCTCTGGTATTGCTGTGAGGGGTTCAGAAGCTTTTGCTCCTGTTCTTCCTTAACCACAACCTGACATGTTACTGGAACTTAAAATCATTGGTTAAAAGTTGGCTTGTTTCAAAGAAACAGTAACCATATTTCAGAAGTTCATTCCTCATGACAAGCTGCAGCGAAGCAAAAATGGAAGTGAAAGCTTCCAAACTCCTCCTCAGAGCTACACCACAGTAAGCGGGAAAAGGGGGCACACGCAAGCTCAAGGCTCACTAAGTCACATTCTTGTCATGCTACGTGTGCAGAGGGCAACCAAGATGATCAAGGGTCTGGAAGCCAAGCCTTATGAGGAATGGTTGAGGGAGCTGGGTATGCTTAGCCTGGAATAAAGAAGACTGAGAAGATATATGATAGCCATCTTCAACTATCTAAATGGCTGTAGCATGGAAGATGGAGCTAAGCTTGTTTTCTCCTGCTCTGAAGGCTAGGACCTGAACTAATGGCTTCAAGGTACAAGAAAGCAGATTCCGACTAAACATCAGAAAAACTTTCTGACAGTAGGAGCTGTTCGACAGTGGAATGATCTCCCTCCTGAGGTTGTGGGCTCTCCTTCCTTGGAGGTTTTTAAGCAAAGCTTGAATGGCCATCTGTTGTGGATGCTTTAGTTGAGATTCCTGCATTGCATGCAGGAGCTTGGACTAAATGATCCTCAGGATCCCACTTCTCTTACTTTCAAAAGTAAGTATTGGTATTTGGATGTGGTGTGGCAATTTTTGAATAAATGTAAGCCCTAGGGCATGTGAAACTAGTGTGGTTCTTTGAATTCTAGCCATCACATTTTGTAGAATTTATTGAAATGACTGAATCAATATTATTGGCAGTGGGGAGGAGACATTTAATAAACTATTTATATATATATATATATCAACATTTCTATATAAAAAAAACTTCAGAGTTTACATATAGCTTGCTAACAACACAGACTTCCTTTTTTCATATGTGGGACAGGACAGTTTTTGGGGCAGGGGTAATATTATTGATGGATTCTCACATATAGTGCCAGATGAACTCTTCATGTTGCTATTTTTGTCTTCAAGGAAACATTCTGTTATCAACACATGGCTGCTTCTATATCTAGAGTAGAATTACATATTGGTAAACTGGTCCAGAAAGTTTTTGCAGCCATGACTTGGAACAGACTGGCAGGTTTACATCTGAAGATATTCAGAATACCAAAACACCATGGCAAATGAGAAACCTCCCACGTTTATTTGTAATTTGTTCATGATTTAACACTATACAATTGAAAGATTTTCTTTGTCCAATATAAGCAGTCATCTAAAATTAGTGAATTTTATGGTGTTTTAATGGAAGGAAGGTCAGTCATATTACAGGTTGACAGGGGCCAAATTTGTGCACAGCAAGCAACGTGTGCACAAGCAACTACTGTCATTTACATGAAAACCTATCCACTCTAACTAAAATGTGTATTTTAAATGTAACTACCGTATAAGTAACTAACGGTGTATTTAATACAGTTATTTAAATATTTTTCCAGTCAGGATAATTGTATAGGCTCTCACTAAATCAATCTTATAGAAGATATTTCTAATTATTTGCTCAGCTTAGTAGGATCTGAATTTGAATCTACAAGCAAAATCTCTAATAACCTAACATTAAAATTATACTGATGTCTTGTTTCAAAATGGCACTAAGACACAGCACCTTTTAAAATAATAAACATTTTCCAGTACAGCTAATAAAATGATTTGCACATAATTCTAAACCAAATCATGGCTTAGTGGGAGTTTTGCTCCTCCAGTCCTGCTGCTGCAGTGCTGTGAGCTAAGCCATAGTTTGGCTTAGCATGTTGTTCAAACTGGTTGGTGGTTTATCTGGAGTGAGACAAACCACAAGCCCAAGTTTGGACAACATAGTAATCCAAACCACAGATTAGCTCAAAACATTGCAAAAGCTGGGAAACTGCTATTTTTTGTTCTGTGAACCACCCTGAGACCTCTGGGTATAGGGCGGTATATAAACTCAATAAACAATAATAAACTGGAGAAGCAAAATGGCAACGATCTCCTTTCCTGGGGTCTGTCTTTATGCTAAACTATGGCTTGGCTTATCATTACATATTAACTCTCTTTTGTCTTCAAAATCATTTTAACACCAGTAACTGTGGAACACTTACTTCTTCTCTTCTTTCATCTGAAGACGGAACTTTAAGTTCTCTAGCTGTGTCATCCTTGGGATCAAACAAGTATATATAATCTGAAGAATAGCTCACAAGAATTTCTTGGCCATCTTCACTGTAGCATAGAGATGTTACCCTACATGATTTGTTGTTCAGATGGGGAGGAACAAAACGCGCCACTAATCCTGTGGTACCCCGGCCTGCATAATTACCTACATTAAAAAATAATTGAATTAATTTTCCATTACACATGAGCCTTCATTTACAAATGAGCCTTCTACTACATGATCTTTCCTTCCTAAACAAAGCTCAACTTTGACCTGAACCCCCAAAAAGGGGGTAGATTACTGCCAGTTTGTCACTGTGAGTAGATCACAGTCTCTTGGAAGTTGGCCACCCCAGTCTAATCCATCACATTTTGTGGTAGTGAAAGCTAACTATGAATTGTCTAAAGAAGTACAGGCGTCAACCAACTTACATGGGGAGTTACCATCCAAGACCCCGTGTGCATAACTGAAATTGCATAGAGACAAAATGAGCACCCTCTACACACCCTCTTTACCACTCTCTCTTCGATCCATACCAAATATATCATATCCAAAAACATCCACAACTACAACTGAAGCTCTGGGGCCAGCAGGAAGCTGGAGGATGCATGGGAAAGCAGCTACTGCTGCTGCACTACCCCCATCAGTTGTTAGGCGGGGAGGATGAGCAGTGTGAACAAAGCTCTGCTGCACCTCAGGTCTCTTCGGGGCTTCCTCCGTCCTCATTGATATCCTCTTCAGGCTCTGGGGAGGGTCTCTTTGCAAGGACTGTTCAACTTTTCCCCGCCACTTCCAGGTTTGAATTGAATTTTTTATTTCCTAGCACTACTCATATACATGGTGGTGCGCAAGTAAATTACACGCAACGGATGCCTGTACTGTGTATATTAGTCCTAAAATGTGTCTATTTTTTTACACACTGCATTCTTTTATAAACCTCAGTTATGCCCCGGTTACTTGCCATTTTGCTACAATTTAAAGCCACATACACAGTACCTCCTCTTTGCCGATTTTTGGAGGGCACAATGAAATGAAAGCATTCACCAATTCAGAGTAAAAGCTGTCTGCTGTCATTCCAAACTGGCCATGTATCCAACGTGTTTGGTTACGCGATATTGTTGTACATTACCAAGTTGGCTACATAATTTCCAACTGGAATCACGTACAGTATTTGGAAACAGAAACTGTACTAATATTAGTTAGAATATTTTATCTAAACAGAAATTTAGATTCAAAGTATTAATATCACAATGAGACTATAAAATAATTCCACAGTACTTACATTAACCTCATTCTCCCTATGGAAACTTTCTATCCTATCCATCTATCCATCTGCTTTTTCCTCACCTCATAATTTCTAACAAAGAGTAGAGCAATAATAAATCACATTCTGCAGCCTTTTCTAGGCATTTTTAGCTACATTAAGTGCACAACTCAAGTTCTTATCTTTTACTGAAATCAAGCCTAAATGCATGTAATTGAACTGTTTTCATATTCTCCCATTTATCCTTGCCTCAATATTCCTCCCTAGTCAAATTTTAGATTGTCAGTTCTTTGAAGGGCCAGGGCTTGCCCTTTTGTAGATATTCTCTGAAAAGCACCATGAACACTGAGACCACCATCAATTCTTAATACTCAAAACCACTAAATGGAAAGAACAGCAGAATTTCTTCATTTATTTACCATGGCGGCAAATCAAAGGAGTTCACTCAAATTTATTCAATGAAAGAATCCATTCCCCCCCCCCTTAAGTTGGACTTTCCAGCAGCTCTTGTAGCAAACCTGAAAACTGTTCTTAGGTCAATTTTAAAGAGCAGGTCAGAGAGAAGAATTGCTCTATGGGACTTAAAATAATGCCAATGTGCATACATGCCTCTGAATCATAGTCAAAATATCACTTTAGGACATCAATACTTTTCAGTCCACATTACAGAAGACTTTCTAAAGTGTGATACAAGTTTTCATGAGTATAAATTTAAAAATTATGAGAAGTTCTGCGTTTATGCAGAAAATATATTTTTCATTAAATCATCTCATTAAGAGGTTCACATCCTATAATCTTCAACTATGGTACTCAAAAGTCAGCTGTTTTACAATATCATGCAAGTATTGTCCTACCTGTTGCTCTTGTGCCAAGCATTCGTCGATCGTAAATTCTTACTGAACTATCGGAGCAACCAACTGCAAGATAATATGGTATTGGAGGGCAAATAGCTACAGAGGTGGCTGCCCTCCTACAGTTTATTAAAATATCCTAGAACAAAAGGAAAATATTGCACTTGTTTAAAATATACAAGAACAAGTGGCATTAAATCACACCAACTAATACAATCCTAGAAAAAAAATCAATATGGTTGTGTTTTAGAAAAAGCCAACTCTGGCCCTTGTTAATATATATTTTAAGCATGTTATTGGACAACAGACGGGTATGGCCACAACAAAAAGACTAAGCAAACAAAAGCATTGTTTAGTAACATCAACTTGCAGCTGTAAACACAAAGCTTTCATCTGTCTAAGATTTTCTCATAAAAAGAGGCCAGAAAGTGAATCACAAGGGGCAGGGATTGCCTAAGCTACTTTAAAAGGATTGGGCTAGAATAGATTTATGTACAGATAATTGGATGTAAAGAGCAACGCAATGAGATTAAGCACTGCAAATAGTTTCAACATAAAAAGGAACAATACTGAGTATAGCCTATAAAAATGAGGTAAAATAGTTAAGTAAAATGCATACTTGGAAGCAACTCTGTATAAATTAGAAAAATAAATCCTATTACTATTACAGTCATAAAGAATTTGGTAAATTATTTTCACAGCTGGACTGATTCTTATGTTATCTAATTATCAATGACTTTAAGGATGCGTCATAACAAAGTGCTGTAACATATCAAATAGTTCATAAAAAGCCTGAATTCAAACCAAATCAAGTTTTTCATATCTGTTCAATATTATAGTATTATGATATGACAGATAAGTAATACATATTTCAAAAATAACAAATTATATTTTCCTTCATATAGTTCATGGTCACCTCACTAGATTTCACAGCATCAGGACCAAAACAGGCCAGGACCATGAGATCTCAGGTTCTGAAAACAATATAGCTCTTTATTCACACCCTCTTATAAAAGTGTCTCTTACATCTTTACAATCTTCTTTTGTGCAACTTGTCTTGATTCTAGTATCAAACCATCTCACAGTGCCATCTTCTCCACAAGATAGAAAAGTATACGGATCATTGGGGACTGTCATGATCTGAAATGTAAGCAAATTGTATACTTTAAAATGGCAACAGCCTTAAACAATTGAAAATAAAAGCCAGGATCCAAAGTAGCATAGAACAAGTTGTGTATGCAAGGCTTGAGATTATTTCCTTGAAAAATATCCTCCCACCTGCACACCTCATGGAAAGCTGATTTTGAAATAGAGAGGCATTTCAAATCAGTTGTAACAAAAGCAATGTGATAATGTAAGACTGCCTTATAGTATACAAATAGTTTTTTGGAGGTGGGAGGGTTTCTTTAGAAGACTGAAAGGAAAGGTACAAAAAATCATGCCCAGGCAATCTTCTTAAATAATGGGAGGTGAATGTAAACAAGAAAATTTGGACCATATTATCTAATTGGGCCAAACTTTAGGTTATTAAACTGCAGTGTGAAAAAGAATAGATAAGCAACAGTCAGCACTCATGACTTTATAGTTATAAGATACAACAGAAATATTAATTTTCAGTACCTCATAAGTAGTTCCATAATGGCATGTGAATTGGCACTGTCTGTTGGTTTCAGCATCTTGCTCAACATTGGTAAAAAAAATGACTCCATCTCCTGAACAGGACACGATCTGTTTATCACTGGTGCATGGCAAAAATTTTGCACTAAAAATATTTGCCCTGTGTCCTGAGCGAATGGTTGTTAAAACCTAGAAAACAAGGATTACTGTATTAGCTTAACATTTTAATTACGGTAATATCGATCACATCTATCTTTCTCACCTTATTCCAAAAAGCAGGCTACCATACTATTTTATCTTCATAATCCACTCTCTTGTTCTACACCAGGGATAAGTAATCTCTGGCCTCAAAGTGTTTTCCCCAAATAATACCCATCTGCCCCACACCTGTCACCAGATGTGGGGCAGGTATAGAGGCACAGCTATGCAACTGAGTTCCCCATATGAAACTTGATTGTGCGGTCAATCCTTGCAGAAAGTAACTTTGCCAGCCCTATGCTTGGCACTTGGGAAGAAGTGAGCACAGAGCCCCTTGCACTGTGGTTCCCAAGCCCAGACAGCCCACTGGCTGTAAGATGCTCAGAAAGTGCTGCACAAAGGATTTGGACATGTGGGTCATCCTGGCCATCTGTCAAAGCTGGCCTGCAGGGATGGAGACAGACGAGGATCTGGCCCTTTGGACCAAAAAGGTACACCACACTCTGGATGGTTCTACACCACCCAGGTAATTTCATAACTGAAGGCTTTGACCAATGCACAGCTCTAGCAACTGCACTACAACACAATAGTACAGTGCAAGGTGGTGAGGGGCGGTGAGACAATATAAAGAGTAATAAGGCAGAAATCATGGTAACAAGATAATACTGAAAACTTTTTGAGCAGAACTGGTGGACTTAATATGTTTTGTGGCAACTCTCCTACACAGGACAGATGTACTGTTTTGAAAGAATAACCAAGCAATCCATGATATATGCAATGTCACAAAAAACAGAGCTTTCAATTACAAAAAAAAATTAATAACATTTTGACTATTCAGAAAAATCGATAAAGGGACAGCAGATCATCTTACCTTTCTACTATATGGATTAGTAATTACAAGATTAGTATCATCAGATCCAGATAAAATATATTCTCCTGTATCATTCCAGCATATTGTATTCACCTGTAAGCAAGTATTTAACACAATAATTAATATCTAAAGAAGGGGTGAACAATGTTAAGATGCAAACTATCTAACTTTACCAGAAAACAACACAACTCAGCTAATTATGCATATACTTTGTATAAGGACTTGCACACCTGTATATTCAGCTGCATGAGCAGTACTTCTCCCACACTTGCAGTCTCTTTGGTTCATACCACCGCAGAACATCACATATGACAGAGGTAGGGAAACCTTTTCAACCCAAGAGCCACATTCCCTTCTGGGCAACCTTTCAGGGGCCACATAAAAGCGGCAGGCAAGGCCAGGGACAAAAATGGGGCAAGAATTGTATCCAATTCTTCCATGGAACAGACTTCCACTCAAATAATGTTGGAATCCACCCTGTGTGCATAGGGTTGCAGCCTAAATTAACTCATTTTCACTGGGCCATTTATCAATTATCCCCGGAATAAAAAACTGAGTATCTAAACTCTCATATAATGAAGTCTATGGAGAAAGACCATATGGGAGAATTTAGAGATAAAAGAGAATATCAAAATTATTTTTTTATATTTTGATTACTATTTAAAACATATGTATGAAAATTAAAATAATTATCATGTTCCCAACAAACCTTTATTCCACAAGATCAAATTGCTTGTGATATAAGATTTAGAGTCCCAGGATGTAGATTTTTTTTTTTAATGTTCCAATATTAATTGTATTGAACCTTTGGCTAGAATGTATTATGCTTCATTTTGTGTGCCTGTATTTTATTACTACTATGCTGCATTCCTTTCCTATCTGACCCTGAAAGTGGCACAAATAGCCCTCCAGGATGTTATTCTATCTTAAGTTTGCTGTAGAGTGTAAAATCAGCTATCCTTGAAGCTTCCTGGGAGATAAGAGAACACAGCCAAAGGTCTGGTTGCCAGGGGAACAGTAACATAAATGCAACATTTGAGGTCAAAATGACCTGGGCACTTGGGGTACCCCAAGGTAACTGCAGAGGAGCCTTATATTTTAAACATCCCATTACCTGTAACCTTTCATGATGTATGTAGAAGGATGTTTAAGAATGTTATGTTTTGATGTTTATAACTCTTTGTGTGCTGTGCCTATAAATCCCTTGTTCTGATGCTCCTCGTGTCAGACCTTCTTCTTAAGTGGCTAGAACAATCACATTAAGTTGAGCTCTGCCCTATTGCAATAGCTATAATAAATAATTCCCTTGGTTCCTTTACTTATTTAAAAGATTGTCCCTCACCTGAGTAAAAATAAGGCGGTGTAGAAGTAAATTCTTACCACACTTACAAGAACAATCTTGTACGTCCTAACATGTTTTTAAAAATGTGTTATAACAACAAATTTTCAGTAGGGAAAAAAATAAAATAAAATAAAGTAGATATACTTGGAAGAATACTAAAAGCTCATGTTCATCTTGTCATGGAAATGCCAGTTACCATTACTTAACTTCTTGTTCAAGCATGCATTCTTTTTAAACAACAACAAAAAAATCACTTACACAGCCATCATGCACATTCAGCGTTGCTTCAAGTTTTAATCTTTGGATAAATTCTCTCCTTCCTGGAGGGGAAAATGCAAAATTAGCAAAAAGGTTTAGATACTTACAAAAGTATTTTTTAATATTTTTATAAAATATGCTTTATAAATATATGTGTGTTTTATAAATATATATGTTTTGGTGCCTTCTTTCTTTCTATGGAAGGTATTGCATTGCCTCTACAGCTAAGATTCTTAAAGCACAATGTGAACCTTCCTAAAGGTAATGGGATTTTCTGGGTGATGGGTGAGCTCCTTCTCAGTTCCATCCAGCCATGCGTGCATTGACCCATCCTAAAATGGGCCCAGGTGGAAGAACCATAATGCATCATCACCCAATCAGTACAATGTCAGAGGCAATACGTACCCGCCCCCAAACTTGAGCAGATTTCCCCACAGGCCTCAGCACTTAAAATGTCCTGGTTTTCCCTGGTGTCCCTTCCTTGAGGAATAGCACATCCCACATGCCCCTGATCCCTCCTGTTGTTTCATCTGCAAGGACAAGAGTGAACACTGCCAAATGAGTAAGTTGTCTTTGCTTTAACAAAAACATTGTGTGACCGAGATTCAGTATGATATGGCAAGACACTCGTCCCATACTTTAAGGTAAAATATTAGCTACTTTGTATCCACCTGTTGGCAAATAAGAGTTCTAGATAGTTATTTTCTTTTCACAGATCAGTTCCTTCATATGCCTGCTCAGCTGTTCTGTGATTTTTTGGGAGAAAACAATCATATGCCCTAATCTAGAATCAAGAGTACTTAAATATATGAATTGTTACTGGTACATTTTGCAAAGAAAACCATGAGGAAAAGAAGCATGCACAATCATGTAAATGAATACACTGGAATTAAAAGGTTTAAGATGTCTTTCCACTCATACAAATCAGTATGAGTTTCAATCATATAAAAGCACACTAGTACTGCTTGGACAAGCTTTCTCTACAAATAGACCCATGTAAACATAAATCAAGTCTACCGGTCTTAGAAGCATTACAGGTTGCACTTAAGGTTGTAGCCAACATGCAGAACAGATTCCACAGAATCATAACATTGTAGAGCTGGAAGGGCCCGAGTCCATTCCATTTATACAGTAAGACTTTGCATTCCACTCCTCTCCCTTATAACCCCCACATCCTCAAAGTCTGCTTTGGAAGTTGCGGGACCCTCTGGAACAGATTTTGGGGCACATAGAGGCTGCAGAATGAAATAGTGAAAGGTGGAGACTTGTGTGAATAAAAGTGTCGAATTCCACTCTAAAGATTTTCTTGTGAGACTGTAATAAAACCTTCATTTTATGAAATTAATACTTAACATCAGATGAGCAGTGTAAGCAGAGGAATTGCCCATATCCAACTCATCCTCACCTGTTTTTCCCTTAATGCAATCAATGTTATATTCTATTTGCCACTGGACTGGCCCAAAGCATTTTAGGTTTGCCAAGCAGAAGCTTTTGATCTCTCAAGAACAAATATATTAAGGCAAGGAAATCTACTTGCTCTTTTGAAAATAAGTCATATGACTGACCCATATATGCTTGTACAGGTACTATAGCATAGATAACCTATACAACATCTATTCCAGAAAATTATCACACTAGGCATGATAGTTGTGTTGTAAAATCATGTTTATAAGTCTTCACTGGAAACTCATGATCATGCAATGAAAATCTATTAAAGCTGGCCCATACCATCTTTCTTATGCTGCTATTGCCCTTCCAGTCAAATGTGTTTGTTGTTGCCAACATATAGCTTTTAGCTTTTTCAGTTTCTTCAACACTGATTTTAACAAGACTTTTCAGGCAATTGTCATGATTTTGTTTTCAATATCTTCCTTTCCTGTCTGACTTTATGTCATCTTTTTCACCAGCTGCTGCATTTGCCTTTCCACTTACACAGAATCATTAGCAAATATTATACAGTCATCAGCAAAAAAAAAACATGTTAGCTGTTCTCTGAAGAAAATTTTACACTCCCAGTTTGTTTTACTTAACAGTGATTCCAGAGCTGTGACGGCTTCAGATACACTGTGGATCACTGAGTGATTCCTGCAGCACAGCTGGCTATTCTTTGAAGATCAATATACATGTTGTTAATTTCAGTGTTGCTCAGAGCACCGAGGACATCTGTCCCCAACAGGATAAAAAACAAACCCCTGAGAAAATTCAGATTTTAGTATTCTATGTGATGTTGGGAAGTGATAATTCTGAAACTTTTAAGTATTCTGAGTACCACAAACATTATACTTTAATTAAAGTATCATCTTTTAAAAATACTCTTCAATAAGTAAATTTAAGTATAAATTTCCCATTTTAATTTCAATAGTTGGGATGTATTTTCCTCTCACCCAGGAACAGGGGGGAAACTATTGTGCAAGTAGAAAGAATTCTGTTTGTAGCAATCCTGATAGCTGTATTACACTTTCAGACATACTACAGATCTTAAATGAGTGCATGGCTAAATATAACCTTTCCTGTTTAGTCACTGATAATGTTACAATCACTTGAGCTTTTAACTGAGGTAAACAGTGTTATAGCAACAGACTAAGTCAAACATTTAAAATACTAAGTTCACAAAAGCAACTTAATTTTGATGACAAAGGGAATTTAATATGCTATATGCTTTTACAGGTTTAAGTGATCATAAAAGGTATCGCATTTTTCACGTTTCATATTGTGTAGAAAACATTAGCAGAAGCACAAGCTCACACTCTCTACAGCAAACCAAGGACTTAGGCCTAGTTGTCACTGTGTCCAGACTGCACTGCAAATAGGTGGGGGCTCATAATCATAATCATAAAATTATACCCTTCCCATCTGGCTGGGTTTCCCCAGCCTCTCTGGGAGGCTCCCAACAGAATTAAAAGCACAACAGAACATCAAACATTTAAAACTTCCCTAAATAGGGCTGCCTTCAGATGTCTTCTAAAAGTCAGACAGATGTTTATTTCCTTGACATCCGATGGGAGGGTGTTCCACAGGGCAGACGCCACTACTGAGAAGGCCCTCTGCCTGGTTCCCTGTAACCTCACTTCTTGCAGGGAGGGACCCGCTAGAAGGCCCTCAGCACTGAACCTCAGGCTGAATGATGGGGGTGGAGACACTCCTGGTATATTTACCTCTCTACACTACCAACACACTTACCTTGGTTGCACTATAGCCCTGTCAAGAATGTTGAGGAATGAATGCCAAACACATTTTTATCATGTATGTATGGCACGGCTAAAATAGCAGATTTAGTATAACACTGGCCTTTAGGCAGCAAAGCAACACACCATTTTTTATATATCAGGTACATGTCTAGATAAGTCACCCATATGATACGGTATTTCCCTCCTCACCATCAATCAATCATGAATACAAGCAGGAATGCCATCTGCATTGAATTAAAAAGTTATTTTAAAATTACCGTGTGTTAAAATAACTAAATATTTGCTAAAATTACTACAGTACACTGAACTTTTTCCATACAAAAAATATTACTTGGTCATTGTCAAGATTGCTAGGTAAACTACTATACTGTACTTAAATTGTAGCAAATGACCTAAATGATACTTCATTCACTTTACAAACCTCTAAAATTAACATATCTGCAGATGTGAGACCAGCAAGGCTATATTCTAAAAGTATCTCTAGTCTTGTTCCCAAGCATGCTGAAGTTGTGGCAAACTGCATGAAATGCAATGCTAAGCAAACAACTCTCACAAGACCTATAAACTTTTTCAAACTGCATTAGAGAGCCGTTTTCAAATAATGCCACTGTATTAATAATGAACTTGATAGCACAACTAAAAGCTGCAGTGCTATGAACTAAAGATTATGCTATAAGAAGGTAGGCAATCTAAGATCGTTCTTAAACAATTATACTTCTAACTACTGTTGCTTATGGTAAATATTTTGCAATATGCCACATATTCTCTAAAATTTAGTTTACTCTTCTTCAGTCTATCTTACAGTCTCTTCATTCTCCCTGCTCCCACTAGTGTGTTACATTTTTTTAAAAAGATGTATTTCCTAATAAAGCTGTGTTTTGAAATAAAATATTTTAAATATTAAACAACTCTTGACTTTATTTTTTTAAGCGTTTAGTTGTGATCCAATATTTAATTGCATTGGGTTGTAGACAATGTTATGCCAGCAGAAACCCACCAGCAGACTCCCCCAACCCTCTGGAGCTGATGGGAGGGCACAGGACGGAAGAGAAGAAATGGAAGTCCCAATGTACACATGCAAGTCCCTTGCACCAGCAGAGCTACAGCATTAGATATAGCCCAAGTAATTAACACACAAGCAATTGCAATGTATAGATATTGCTATAGATTTGCTGTTTAATGCAAAAGTATCTCTCTGAAGAAACTTGGTGCAACCACCTTCATATCAGCCCATCAGGATTGCTAACAGGACAATGTGGCCAAATAATGAGAATGCTATCTTACATTTTTGGAACAGACTGTCAGAAACAGACTTCATACCACAGGTGGTGATGGTTTCTTTTTTTAAAAAAAAAATGCACTGCTTCTCACCACATCTCATAGACTTACAAATAAAAAAAATGTACAATGCACAAAACTTGAAACATAAATAAAAACATCAGTGTAGAGCATTAGAACCATGTTCATGATGCAAAGGCCTGAAATGAAACTGTTTTAAGCTGTTGTCTGAAACTTAATAGGGACACTGCCTGTCTGATTTCTAATGGGAGGAAATTCCAGAGTTGAGTCCACTACACTGATGTTGCTTTAGCACTGTTGCTGCCTTTTTCCACACCTGCTTAATTTGTCTGTATGTCTGTAAACTGGTATGACAAAACTTTCTTCTGGTAATTTTATATGCTGGCCTTCAATATAAATATGCTCATCCAACAAAGCCAGTACAAAATATTTAAATATTTAAAACAGCAAAAAGGTTGTAAACAACTCAATGGTAAAATACTAAAAGCAGCAACAATAAAAATCATAGTTAAAGATTTGAAACCAAAAGAAAAGTAACTGAAAGCCCAGAAAACGTATTATTGTGGCAGCAAAAAAGGTATCAAAGAAGGCACCAGGCAAATCTTGCTGAGAAGAGAATTCCAAAGGCAGGACATCACAAGTGAAACAGCCTACTCTCCCCACTTGTCACCCCCTCACCTCAGAAGATGGGAACACAGCGAGGTGCAAATCCCACAATGATCTAGATGCATTGGCCTACTAGCTGTGTAGCAGGCATACCTCCAAATGCCCTTGTCCAAAGCTGTGTAACCAATAATCAGTAAAGATATCTAAGAAATTATGAGGTATGGTCCAACTGGCTGGTCCCTATCAGAAATCTGCAGCTGTATTTTGTACTAGCTCATTACTTAACAGTATTCAAAGGCAGTCCTAGACAAAACACATTGCTGCAGTGTAATCTGGATTATACCAAAATACTGATAACTTTCTACTGCACTTCTATCCACAATAGGCCTCAGCTGATAGAAAGCACTCTGAACCACATGGGCATCAGTGACAAAGTTGGATCCTAGAGTATTCCCAAGGTGCTTTAATATGTCACTACTCTTTCCTCCCACAGAGATTGAGTTTAGAAAGCTGCTTCATACTTTCTCATTGCTCAGTGTGGCATTGAAAGTGTGGCAATTAAATAAAGCTATGAATACCCACACTACTACAAATGCAGGTTTGTTAGAAAATAAGTACAATAGGAATAGGAATAAAATAGGTAATTTCAGACTTGAATATTGGTTGCTGATTTAACTCAGGCTACAGGTGGCTATTTTAATTCAAAATCAGTTACTGTGAACACAATATAAATATGCTTTTAAATTCCAAATATATAGCATCACATAGCCAAACATTACCTACAATTATTATTTTATATCCCAAACACATAACCTACAATTAGAAACAATTTCTTTGACAAAGGCTGTGACAAACATATTTTTCAAAAACTGTGTTTATTTCAGTTCCTTTATCCAATAGCAAATTTTGTTTCCTTCATCTACACGGTTGGCGACACCATAGGTGAATGAGTCCACTCGCCACTTTAAGAACAAAAGAGAGGACAAGAAGGCTTATAGATTTAGCTACTTTCTTTACTGAAGTAATCACCTAAAGTGTTTGAGAATCTGTAAAGAGTGGCCTATGAAACTTATATAATTCTACATGTCTCTAGGATTTGATGTTCTCTGGGGGAAAGGTCAATTCCTTCAAAATGTCAATATAAAGTACATTTTAACAGATTTCTCAGCCACAATGACTGAGGAATTTCAAAACTGTTACTGAATTAACTTGTAAATATGTGTTTCTCTTTAAGTATGTTTCAAGATATACAAGTATAGCATTTTAACATATTTTGACTCTAAATCTGCAACAAGATAACATAAAATGACTGTATAAGCAACCATTTGATGCAAATCAATAGAGAATGGGGCTCAGCTGTACTATTTATTACTGTAATGAAAAACATGAAGGTGTAAATAAAATATAACAAAGAATACGTTGAAACTTTATGCCATACACATCTAAAAGTTATATTGGATCAAAATACACAAAGGAGTTCTCTCATCTTAAGCACTCATTTCTAAATTAAACTAAATTTTCAAACAGTATAACAAGGTAACATGCCATGACCCTCTCCAAAAGATCACTTAAAAAAAAAACATGGTCATCACTTTGCTCCTGTGCCCTTGCTGTAATACAGAAAAGAAAGCAAGAGCAGTGATGTAAAAAATATTTTTCAAGTGAGCTCTTTTTGGTGGTCTACGCAGTAAAATCTATGAAGACCCCTTTCTTCCAATTAAATAATAATTGAAATACATAGTCAATATTTCTGCAGTAATAAAATACTTCTTTGAGCATTAGCCTCCCCAATTCATTCCTACACTTAACACATGGTTATTAGTAACTTAGTTATAGCACTTAAGTTATCATCATAAGATAACTGTAGCCAATTAGATCTGTGATTCTATACCTAATGGCAATGATGTCAATCAGACCATAGATAAAGAACAGAGTGGGGAAAGCTACTTGATAACGCCTTTAAATAGTCTTAAATTTCACTTTGAAGCCAATTCCCAGAGGAAGGGAGGTAATAAAACATGTGGGGGAAAGATTGTGGCACAAGTCCAAATCTAGTTGTGCTCTGGTGCGTATCACTGATGAATGCCTCACTTCCATCCATATCAAACACAAGTTCAGCAGGAAGCAGATCAATGAAAGTCATGAGAACAAATATCCCTTGTAGATTGGTGCATTTGCTTTTAAACTATCGAATATATGTCATCATATAAATTTTCATCTACTTTTATTCAGCAATATCTTAAAGAACAGATTGAAGACCTCCCGTATTGGGTAAAAAAGTAAGCTGTCCTTGAGTCCAAAGAATATTTATGTTTGTATATCAAAAATCAAATTAAAATCAGAAAAAAATCCAATTTTTTGTAGCAATATTGTAATGCTTTCAGAAAACGCAGCGAAATTAGTATGTTTCTAATAGAAAAAGTGCAACATTTAACTAGCTATCACTGCCCAAGACAAACTTTACCCAAAATCCATAAATGATAGTTATTTATGTATGCAGATTTGTTAACACAAGCAAAAACAGCCAAACTTTTCTATGAATCAATATACTAGAAGCAATCACGTGCTACATTCTTCTTTGCAGGGAGTTGTGGGGGGGATCTATGGGAGGTACAGTTTTATGACACTTAAAAATGCCTTCAACAGTTAAATACATCCACAACCTGTTTAGCTCATGGCAATGGCAAGGAGAGACACTAAGCCGTTCTGATTTCTCTTTGAGACTTCTTGCACGAGCTGGGGGTGCAAGTGTGTGAGAAAATTTATATATCATAGAATAAGTACTATCGCGCTGCAACTCAGCATCCAAAGATGAGGGGGAAGTTGCAGAAAGAGGGAGTGAAACGCCACTCCCCAAATTATTTCAGAAAAATCTCCGAGCGTAGTGCAAACGGGGGAGGGGGGGAATTATCCGTGAAGAGAGACAAGCACGCTAGAAATACTTCTGAACGTTTCGTGCCGTCGCAGTTCGGTTTTGCTTTTCCAAAAAGGACCCGACGCTCATTCCCACCCCCACCCCCTCACGAAACCGTCGTGGAAACTTGCTGTATATACAAGAGAAGGGAGAAGAAGGACGGAATGGGGTCAGCTATTGAGCCGACCACCATAGCTGAAGGGCCGCCTCTTCTCCCCACCCCGCCCCGAGCGATGACCCGAGGAGGGGGCTGGGGGTCAGCGAAGCAGCCCCACCACAGCGCGCAACAACCCCGCCCGCCCTTCCCCTCAGCCGGAGAAAGAGGGGGGCCAAGGGCGACCCACGACCACCTCAGTTTTCCCCCAGCGCCTCCGACCCCGCCCTCTCGCCCTTCCTCACCTAGGTATCGCCTCCGCAACAGGCCGGGCTCCTCCAGCCCCAAACTCCGCTGCCTCACATCCCACAGGAGGTGGGTACAGCAGCCCCGGGACATGGCACCTCGCGCTGACCAGGGGGATCCGACTCGCCGCCGCCGCCAGCGACATTAGTCGCTGCCACTTGCTGAGGCCGCCCCCTCCCCCGCCTTCACCATGGAGACCCGCGTGCGCGCTTTACGCGCGCGTAACCACCACCACCACCACCACCCCGCCGCTCAACAACAATATCACCCCTGTTGGGCGCCAGCAACAGCAGCCTAAGCCCCTCCCCTCGCTGCTCCTCTGCTCCTCCCACATCCAGGGATCCGCTCGCAAAGGATATCGCGAGAATTCACCCGGCCCCTCGTCCTACCGCCGCTCACGGTCACAAAAATGGCCATTGAGACGTCCGTGTCGCCGTTTAGCGGTCATCCCTCAGTACGGGTCTGGACACCGGGAGAAAGCCGCCTTATCGGCTTTTCTTACGCTTTCCGTACACGGGCTGCTCAAAGGTGTCTAAGCAGGGGAGTTAAAAGGGCAACAACAACCACCCTTAACGAGCCTTTTCAAAACAAAACCCATCCTGGGTGAGGGCAAAGGAACATTGAAGGCGGACATGTTTGTTTTGGGAGCCAGGTCCCCGAAAGCTTTGCTTGAATCGTCATCAGTCATCGTCCGCCGCTCATACCGTCATAAAAAGAGGACGCCAATTGACCGCAAGAATGTCATCAACGTCGGGTGGCAAAGCCGGTAATGGCGTAGCTAGCCAATAACGCGAAAGCCAGCTGTTTAAGCCCCGCCTCTTGCTCCGTCCGTGGACAAATCAGAATCAGGAACAGCGGCTCGCCCCACCACCTGCTTCTGTTCGTGAGGAGGGGTTGTGGGTTTTTGTGTTTTCCCCCCTCCTCTGCTCAGACGGAGGAGAAGGAGGACGACGACAGGTCGAGCGGGGGCTTCGTTGCATCAGCCGCTGTCACCCGCACACAGAATGGCGGCCGCCGCCGCAGGGTTTCGTGCCTCTTACCACCGGTTCCTGGACCGAATCGAGCTCATGTTGCCGCCCCGGCTGCGTCCCTTGTACAACCACCCGGCAGGTATTTGAGGGGAGGAGGAGATGGGGGAGGTCGTTTCTTGCTCGCCAGCTGGGGATAACTCGTGAAATGGTGTATGTGAAAGTGTGTGCGTGTGTTTGAGAGAGAAAACCCTTATTTGTAAAAACAAATAATATATGCCTGGAAACAAAACAAAGCCCCCTCCCACCCTCCAGTGCCTCAGTTCCCCGCTTATAAACCTGGTAGTGAAAAATGTGTGCTTGTGTTGTATCTGGTCATTCTGCTCGCTCCAGACCAGGGACTGGAGTTCATCTCCCCATGGCCATTGGCCTTGGACCAGTTGCCATCTCTCATACTGGCCTACCTCACAGGATTATGGGGAGTAGGAAAAGGCCAGGGTGGGGACACAATTCTTTGGCAAAAGAGTGGGGTAGAAATAAAATTTAAACGCCCCAGGTCAGAGTTGGTTAGTACTTGGAGACATGGCAAAGTAGATGGTTTAATCTCTGTCCTTGAGAACTCCTGCAAGGTGGTAGCATTTCTTCCATGGTGATGGGCGGGCGGGCTTTGTGGAGGTCTGAGTTGCAGTTTTTTGGCCTTCTTAGTGCAGCCTGAGACTAGCCCTTCTATGCTTCTGCTTCCTGCAGGTTAATTGTTATTGTCGTTAACAAAGGCTGCATAGAAGTCAAAGTTCTGTTTGTCCTCTTTGACACAGATGCTTCTGGGAAAACAAACTTTCCTTTCACTAGGAATGGTGAGAGATTTATTATGGTGACCAGATGCAAAGAGAAATTGTCAGGTAGGGGTAAGAGAAGCTGCACCTGCTGAAAGTCCTCTTTCTGTGCTGCTATTTAAAATTCAAGATGCCTGTCCTTCATTGAAGCAGGTCAGCTTAGAGGATAAATTTGGGGCTTTCCTACATGGCATGGGTCAATCTTGCAACTGTCTGCTCTTTTAAAAGATTATTTTCTTGTGAAGGGATGCTGCTTAGTCAGATTACACCAGCTCCTCAAAAACTTGCATGTTCAGAAAGGATTCCCTGCAGTTCTGTTGCTTAGGGCCCACTGAAATCCAGAGGTGGCCTTAATGGTTGCCTAACCGCAGAAATTATACAGTAGGTCCTAGAAAGGTAGCCGACTACTTTACTCCCACGCACGTTGAAAGAAAAGCAGTGAGTTATAGGAAGTAATCCCTCCCCCCCACACACACACACCATCCCTCATTTATCATATTGTCAGAATATTAGATTCTCTTCTGTTCATTCAAAGGGCTTTTGAAATATAGGTTTTCAGTGGAAACTGCCATTAGGTTTTTCTTTCTCAAAACTTCCTAAAACATTGTGATTCTTGGTGGCTGTCAGCAACCATATAACAACATAACTGGATAACAAAATAGTCTAAAAATTAGGAAACTGGTAGACTTGATTTACAAATTCCTACTCTGTTGTTGACTTTTCCTCTAGACTGAATTTAACTATAATCACCCTTTGATTTACTTACTGGGGAAAGTACTGGTATTCTCTTATCATTACTTATAATCCATTTTTAAACATGCAGCTCTTTATCTTTCCTTTTTTATCTGCAACTGGCTTTTTTGCCTTCACTATCTCTCCAGTGTGAATCCTTTAGAGGTCACTTGTAGATAGGCTTTATAAAAAGACAAAAATCAATTAACAAGATTATTTCTTCCTTTGCCACTCTTTAGTGCAAGCCAGTTTGTGGTGTTTGGACAGAGGAATCACTTGTCATAAGATTTTCTGGTAGTTGCAAAAGCTAATCTTATCTATACTTCAGTAACTGCATTACTTAATTGTGGATGTAAATTCTCTGTGCAGATCATAACATGTTCCTGCATTATGCTACTTTATAGTCTCAGTTTTTATTGGGAAACTTGGATTCAGCAAAGTACTATGCCTGTTACACAAATGAAAAATGCCAAGGAGCATGAAAGGTGATCCAACTGATACCAAAGGCCCGATGGCAGAAACATTTATTTCTTGTGAAAGAAGCTTGCAGAAGGAATAAACCACTGTCTGTCAGGGAAGTGTGAATACAAATACTGAATTATAGTAATGCAAAACCTGTCATATTGTACTTTAAAATTGATGTTGGGACTCTACTTCACATTTATGCAAATTTAAAATTAATTTTGCATGTCATGACTTTGGTATAGCCCCTGACTTTAGATTGAGGACTATATGATTCAGCGTTTGCTCTGGATTCTGTAGGTAGCAAATTACAGTGCTGCTCTAATTTACTCAATAGTGCTGAGGATCCCACAACACTTAACAGGTACACACAGACCATGCTCAAAGCATGGAAAACACAAATAGGCAAACTATCCCCCAACCCCATCCCCACTAATCCCCTGGCGTACCACCCATTATTCCACCATGCAGCACAAAACCTCCAGATAAAAACCTGGCGAACCAAAGGCTTATATCGCCTAATAGACTTCTATAAAAACAACAAACCCTTGTCAACACAAGAAATACAAGACAAACTAGAAGACACCCAAATGCCCTGGTTAACACAACACCAACTACATGCCCTCTTAAACAACCCAACAGTAAAATCAGCAGCAACTAGGCCCCTGACAACCTTTGAAAACCTCCTCCTAACAACAAAGGGAAACGGTAAAGGGATGGTATCCGCAATATACAAAATACTGCTCCAAAATCCCGCAAATCCGCTAGACGCAATCAAAAAACAATGGGAGAATGACATAGGCTATGAGATTAACCCCACTCAATGGACCAGAATGTGGTCTAAACCCCCCTTTAAATCCATATCAACGAAAAGAAAAGAACTCACACTGAAACTCACCTACAGGTGGTACCTAACACCAAGGAAACTAGCGCTAATACACCCAGGAACCTCACCAAAATGCTGGAGAGGGTGCACCTCCACAGGCACATACTTCCACATGTGGTGGGAGTGTCCCAAAATCCAACTATTCTGGACAACAGCCATACAAGAAATTTGTAAAATAACTAAGCAAGTAATAGACACCACCCCAGAATTGGCCCTACTAAACATCTTCCAAGACAACAATGCCCATTTACACCACAAAGAACTCATAACCCACCTGCTCTCAGCAGCCAGAAACACCATAACCAGACACTGGAGAGACCTGTCAGGAGTAAGCATGGACCAATGGTATCAAATAGTATGGGAAACAGCCCTACTAGAAAAATTAACTAATAAACTGAAACTGACACGGGGACAAACAGAAGAAGATGCCTTCACCCCGGTATGGCTCCCCTTTATCACACACACAGCCCAACAGGACAATGACAATAATCCACCAACAGCATACAAATCAATATGGCTAACCTGATCCAAAACACCCACCCACCTCACTCACACACGAAAACAAAAGATCACCACAGCCAATCACAAGCAAACAATCACACCCTAGGCCAACCCCAACCTCTCTCACCACCAAAGGAACACAAGTGAACAACACAAGCACGCTGACACCAAACTCTACATACATTAAACATAATAGAAACACCGCCACCCAATCCCACCCTTATCCATCTTCCCCCTCTCCACCCCCCTTTCTTTTTTCTCTCCTTTTTTATTTTTTATTTTTATTTTCTTCTCCCCCTAATGCCTCAACAAATGAAACGGATTTGTAAAAATGTTACATGGGGAAAAATATATATGAGGCACTACACTTCTGTAAAACAAGAAAATCCTTAATAAAATATTTTAAAAAAAAAAAAAAATAGTGCTGAGGATTACTGACATGATGTTTGTGAAATATACCTTATGAGCAGTTCATATATTTGCTGTATTATTAAGGCTCTGAGGTAAAGTCAAGCAATGAAAGGAATACACTAAATTGTAGTCAGGTGTTGCAGATGCCTTTCCTCACAATGTCATCTTCACTTTCTGGAAAAGGGGATTCATGGAATAATAGTTTTCTGTCCACATGTAGGAAAAGGTTTATTCCAAAAAGCATTTCTTCAAGAGCTTCTGACAAATGTTGGCTCATTTTTAAAGGAAAGGTTTTGACTAAAGATGTGGCTTAGTTTCATACCTGTTGAATTGAGTGTCCAAGTTTGAACTTCTGTTGGCATTCAGGCATATTTTCGAAATCTGCGTCATGTCCATGGTGCAGGTCAGTTTGATGGCCTAATTTGATAAGTGACATTTTACCTAGAATACAAGCTGCTGAGGAAAA